TAGCGTCACTCGAAGCGTTCTGTTTTGTTTTGTTTGACGCAGCCATTGGATTCCCGACTCGCACCACTACTGTGCTAGTCTACCAACCAACTTTTGTCTGCACGGTCTTTGATGTAGTAGTTTGAATACAAAGCAGTTTTACTTGCCACAAACTTGTGCTCTTCCATTGTGCATTGTCGTTTGAGCATCCATCGCAATGTAATAATCGATTCTACTTTACGCCGACCTGGTCAAAAAGTCGAGTGACGGCCAGGCGTATACGACGTCACGTTACTTACTCTCAACAGATGTGGTTTAGTCCTCTAAGAATGGGATTGAAAATGACATCGCCGTATTAAGACAGGAGAAAAAGCTCCGTACTTTTCAGTCGACAAACTTACTAAACAGAACTTACGTCACCCTTCTCTGTCGGTGGCAGAGGGGCCTCCCTGATAAGATAGGAGAGCAAGCTCTGGGGCTCGCCCTTTGGTATGTGTAATTAATTCAGTACAAAGAACTGATAGATAGGGGAGCAAGCTCTGGAGCTCGTTCTTTGATAAGTAATCCAGTTCATCGAACTGAACTAGTTGCAAAACACCGTACAACAAAAGACGCTGAAGAAAGATTAACATGTTGTCAATTTATGTATCAATCTCGTACAGCATACTAGAGCAACGCGGATAAGCCTTTGCTTATGAGCGTCTAGCATTTACTTGTGTGACCATAATCACTATTGACCGATTATAAGCCATTAACAAGCGTGTGACACAATATTGACCAAGCCAAAGAGTGACTCTGGATATGCCTATGTACCTATGAGGGGAGAACAGGCTAGGTCGCACTTAGTTCGCGCGGGGGTACACCTAGCCACGTTATTTACAGACACTCACACAGACACAGACGCACAGACACAGATACGTACGAATAAAAAGTTCGGCATTCACCTGGCGCACAGTCACTAATATTTTCACTCTTAGAGCTCGCAAATTGTTTTTGGGTATCGATAGAAAGCTCGCATGACAAACTGAAATTGTTTGAATGACCAATCTGATCAATAATCTTTTTAGGATGTATGGACGGTCAGGGGGCGCTGAGCAAACGTATCGCTTTCTCTCCCTCCCTTCAACCTCCTACCCCATCAGCATTTCACTTTACGTGCCGATCAAGTACTTGCTTTTAGCCAACACAAAATGGAATGCGTCTCAAAATACTGTGCATGATCCATATGACTGTGGCACGATCCGTGGCCTGACTCATAAGGGATTCGGTAAGTGCACAATACGCACGAGCAAGTGCACTTTATGTGAACCACTTGCTTACGTAGCGATAGTTTTGCTAAGGGAAGCGCCACGGAGCTCTCACTTTTGCGAATGAACACTCGACCTCCTTTACAATTTAGGCTTCGATGCTTTTGATTGCATACATACAGCACAAAACGAGTTTCTTACAAAATCGACACATGATAACGACTCCAAAACGATGGAAAAGGATCTAGATTCGAAGTCAACGGGGAACAGAAGACAGGAGAGACGCTGTTTGAGATGTCGACGACCAGAAGTCTAGTGAATTTGCGCGGCTGGTGGCGTATATGGTACCAACAGTGGGTAGCGTGCGGTATGCGGCATATTTACTCTACCGCATCGACTTACGCACAACTTGTTCGAAATTACTTTGTCCACGAGGTCCTCTGTATATGCACGCAGCACCTTCATTGTTGCAGACTACAGAGTATCACATCTTGTTGCAGGTATCATCGAGTGAGTCGAAATGCCAGCTTCGCCCACACGGTTAATGGCATTAGCATCCAGACGAGTAGCACAACGTCCCACATTGAACGCCTGAAGGCGAATGCCATCGGAACAGCATAGACGAAGTGACAATGTCGATGAGAACTCCTTCTCACGGCTTTGGTTTTTTCAGTGGCAGCGGACTACATGGTTTGTAAATCGACGCCGTCTCGGTGCTTGTGCATCATTGTTATAACCTGGCACATTACCAACTATCGTTTCCTACTGTGTGTATTGTTATCTACAGCAAGAGCACATAAAACGAAGATAAGGGTACTGTCGCATGGTTGCCGAAGCACGTGTACAATCGATCCGCGTTCTGATTCGTCGATTCGGCTTCAGTGTAGCTAAGAATCAGCTCAACATTGAGTAGACAAGCAGCCGCGTGCCGCAGATGAAAGATCATGGCATCTACGCCAACAGCAGCTACTGCGTCTCGCTAAATTGTTGCGTGATCGGTCCATAGAAGAACACGGATGAAATCAGCATTACGTTAAGAGGATTCGTGCCGTTCAACATGCCGTTGTAACCGCACATGCGACACGCCTCATTATCACGCGAACTCGTCAAAAAGATCTTCTTCTTACTGAAATTGACCTTCGTCCTTCGCATATCGCATGCCACTATCACCAACACAACTTCAAACGTAAGCAAAATGACAACCATTCGACTTCACACAACTTCTGCTAACGCTGTACACAGAATTTTAATCGACGCACGAAACACGGACATGCGCACGTCAAGCGTTGAGATGTTCGGCATTTGCTCTCATCTAAGTTTACAGCGCACCCGTCAAGCCTAAGCTCACCACCGAGAACTTTCGGCCCTGCAAATAGATACTCTGCAGGCATCGCAGGTGTACAACTATCCTGACCGTACTTCCTTCTTCGTTCTATCTGTCATTGTGTTACGTCTCTACGATCTAGACTGCCGTTTTCTGTCCCATTTCTGCAGTCACCGCTTTTGTTCTCCGCGCAAATGACTTCGTGATAGTTTCATTACCGTCACAAAGAATACGACGTGGCAAGAATGCACCCACTCTTTTGATGACGGCAGTGGACAACACTTCATACGCACAGACAAAACGTAAGTCGTTGGGACAGCTCAACAACAACTTCACAGTCAATATCGCTACATTCAGGCCGTAGTCGGGTTTTCAGCGTTAGCCCAAATCATCGATAATCGTGTCGTAGATGATCCGTATTCTATGCGAATGTGCTAGAGTAGCATTGCTTATGCAAGGCGATTACGAATGGAATCGGTTTGATGTATCTGATGTCAGACCTGATGAGAACTCGGAAAACTAAGTGGAGGTCTCAAGAACGCGGATGAACGGCATTAGGTAATGCGAGTAAAACAGTTTTAGATGACGCTTAGTCGACTTAGTTCGTTTTCTGCGTTCCGACCAAGCACTTTTGAGCGCGTTAGTTGATACTCGTGAACAGTATTCCTGGTGAATAAGAGCGATTGAAACCCCACGAATTGAGTAAGTGAGCTTCGTTGAACCTTAACAGATCTCTAATAACTAGCTGAGGGCTAACACGCCAAGCAAAATTGATCTGACGCCAACAGACCACCGCGAACGCTGAATGTTGCTTTGCACATGTTTATTCGACCCGTGGTTTCGACATACCACGCCATTCCGAGCTCGTCTTCGCAGAATTTCTGCTTTCACTGTGTCCGATTCAGCACTGGCTCATTAGGTCTTCGAGCCAGCCTGTTGGAGTTGCACGTAGAACTCGCAGTACTTGCTTCGTATGACATCCCGAATGTGTCATACTCGATATGACGAAACAAAGGTCCGTTCACTTCTTATCTACAGCCTCAATTTTGTAGGCTCGCAAAGCCGTCATGGATTTACGATACTCCTTTCTCGCGGTCTTTCGAGATTGGTCCATGCTGGACGGATATGTATCGCTGGACAGAAGAGGAGTAATTCACGTCTTGATTGCCATCATGTGTGTTCGTACACGAGTATGAACCCAGCGAAGCACTCGAAAGGTGTAAATGGATCGGTATCGACTTGAGCTTAGACTCACCCATAGATGTTAATGTTAGATGTTGGTAACTCTTGCACTTGTGCAAAGGATGTAGGAAGTAAAAGTGAAATATATTGGGTGCTTAACTATTCTCCCTAGTCAACCCTATTTGTATGTATTTGCACCAGCACTGCAACTTGACCTGGTCAAGTTGTACTTTGGCATACGTCCAGCGTGACCATCCCATGTGCTGGTCCTGGTTCCATATGACGTCTGTATGTCTCTGTCTCTCCTACCATCTGTCTTTGATAGTCCAACATGACGATCGTCTTCTCGCGTCCCATATGTCAACCTGTCACGTCCCACCGTCAACTTGTCGACCAATCAGGTGAGGTCGACCTAAACCTGTAACAGGTCTTGCAGTTGCCACTACACCGACGTAACCTGTTAAAATCTATATCTTCTAACACTCCTCCTCGACTTCAGCCTGAATCGTCCTCAAGTTGAACATCTTGCGTAGCTCCTCCATTCTCGGCGCTGGCAAGGACTTCGTCAGAATGTCCGCCATCATGATCTCAGTCTTGGCGTACTTGGGCATCACAATTCCTTCACGCGCGTAGTGGCAGATGAATTTAAACCTGATGTCCACGTGCTTCGCGCTCGTTGTGCTCTTCTCTCCCTCGAGTTGCTTGATCGCCGCTTGATTATCCATCCACATAGGCATCGGCGTGTATACCTGCAGCTTTAGCTCCAGCAGTAGTTCCCTCACACCCAGCAATTCGCGTCCTGCCTGGGATGAGGATATCAACTCCGCCTCCATAGTGCTCAGCGACACACCTGACTGCTTCTTGCACGACCATAAAACAACAGAACCGTCCAATGTTAGTACGTATCCAGACACTGACTTACGGTCCGCCTTGTCCGCGGCGAAGTCTGCATCGCTCCAGCATTCAATCTTGACATTTTGTTGAGTCGGTCCGTTGCCGTTCAGGTGCAACCTCAAGTTCTTTGTCGCCTTCAAGTATCTTGCAATGCGTTTCGCAATCTTCCAGTCCTTGGTGGTTGGCTTGAGCGTTTGCCGAGTTGCCCTATGCACCGCAAAACATATGTCGGGCCGCGTGCATCTTGCGATCCATAGCAGACTCCCGACCAAGGATTGAAAGGCACATAAACTTGTCTCACCGCTTGCACCTCTCGCGGGTAGATAGTCCACATCATCCTTGTTATCATCATTGCATTCATCTCCGATTGGCGTTCACACACCGTTCGCCGACTCCAACTTGAAATCCCTGAGCAACACGTCGGTCATGACCTCTTGGTCCAGAATGTATCCTTGAGTGTCATCCAAAGAGATCCTGAGTCCCAGAAATTTCTGAACGACGCCGAGATCCTTGATCGACAGTGTCTCCATGCCCGCAAAGAACTCATCAACCGCGCACTGCTTGGTTCCCGTGACCAGAAGATCGTCCACGTATACTCCGACGATGGTCCATTCTTGACCTTGGTGCTTGTAGTATAGACACATGTCCGTCGTGCACTGCTTGTAGCCATTCTCGGTCAGCTTGGAGTGTAATAGCTTGCTCCAGAGTCTACCTGCTTGCTTTAGTCCGTACAACGATTTCTTCAACAGCAGCGCGACCTCACCAGGAGATTCCACACCGAAACCTTGAAGTTCCTCCTTAGTGATTTGCATGCCTTTTGGAACCTTCATGAAGATATCCAGATGCTCCTCCTTTTCTGCCTTAACGTAGGCGTTCGGAACATTCCCATAACGTGCGGGAACGTTCCATCGCTTCGAGAGCACTAGGATTAGCTTGACGGTCACTAAGTCCATGACGGCCGCAAACGTGAGGTTGTAGTCGATGCCGAAGACTTGTTCGTTTCCGCAAACCACTAGTCGAGCCTTGTATCGCTCGATATCTCCGTTCGCGTCGGTCTTGGTTTTGTAGACCCACTTGTTGTGCAACACGTGTGCATTTCTTGGTGGCACTACGATCTTCCAGACGTCGTTCGCCTCGAGTGCGTCCAATTCTTCGGTCATGGCTACCTGCCATTGGTCGCGTTGTCCACTCTTTATTGCCTCACCATAGTGCTTCGGGTCTTGCTCGACGATCGCGTTCACGATGTCGCAACCGTCCACCGAGGTGTCCACTTCAACCACCTTTGGTTGACTTGACGTTGTCGATCTTGTCCCATGTCGCTCTCTGGTCCATGTCGACTTTCGACCTTTTCTGACCTGCTTCGCACGTTTCACACCATCTTGCCGATCTTCTTCATCCGCCTGATGATCAGGGCCTGGCTCCTTCTGACGTCGTGCCATGTCTAGACAGGTCTTCTCTCTCATCCTGGTCATCCTGTGGTGCTTCAATGTTTTGAACATGTTGAGTCACCACGACCACCTTATCCACTGGGATGTACACCTTGTATCCCTTCGTTTCGCTGCCTCGCCCAATGACGATGCCCGCCTTGCCTCGTTCACCGAGTGACTTGTTCTTCGGGTCTCTGTGCGCAGTGCATGTTGAACCAAAGGCCACAATGTCTGTCAGCACGGGAGCCTTGCCTGTCAGGATCTCCAAGGGCGATGCACATCCGGGGTTGGACTTGGTTTTGCTTCGATTCAGTATGTACGAGGCGTACATTGCAGCATCACCCCAAAATGAGAGCGGCAGGTTTGATGCAAAGATCATACTCCGCACCATGTTCATGACGGTGCGGTGCATCCGTTCAGCCTTGCCGTTGCTTGCTTGGTTTTTCGCCTCGCTTACTTGACGCAAGACGCCTTCCGAAGAGCAGAAAATATCGAGTGTCTTGTATTTGCCACCTCCATCGGTGCGTAAGACATGAACCTTGCAATTGAACTCGCGCTCAAAGTTTGCCATGAAGAGCTTGAACTTTGACGCGGCTGCATCCTTCGACTTGGCCAAAAATATTCGACTGTAACTCGAACGGTGGTCGATGAAGTTGACCATGTAAAGATTTTCCAAACGATCTCGGGGGGTCATGGGACCCTTAAGGTCCGAACAAATGACTCCCCCGATCGCGTCGATTGGCGAATTCGCGCCTGTATCTCTCTTCGACTGGACTCCCTTGGTCTGTTTTCCCTGGGCACAGGCCAGACACTTTTGACGTGTCGAATCAGTCAGTCGGATGCATGATGCCGGATCGTTCGCCATCTTGACGATCGTGTCGAAACAAAGGTGTCCTAAACGCCGATGAAAGTCCATCAAGGTACCGCATAGAACATCCGAATCGGATTCATATTCAGGTGGGTTGACAACAGTCATCAGTGCCTCTTGTGGTGGCTTGGAATTACGATCACTGTGATTTGTCACCGCGACAACCAACACGTTGTTGCAGCATTCCACATCCATGATGGGCGTAGCGCCCGTACCGGAAGACAACACGCGCCTCCCTCCTCGATATTCCAGTACGCAACCTTTTGCCTCGAGCAATCCGTAGGAAAGGATGTTACGCTCGAGGTTCTCCGCATACTGAACATTGAGGAGCCTCAATGTGTTCACGACTCCAAGTGCAACGACTTGGATGTCTACAGTTCCTTGTAGGGTGATCCGCAGCGCACTTCCATCAGTGGCTACAGTCATGTACTCGCTGCGACAATCAATCGGATCAGTCAGCAGACTCGGGTCATTGACCAAATGTCTACTCGAACCGCCGTCGAGAATCCATTGTCCGGGCGAGCGACTCGCACCGCGACCAACCGTGCAAACGAAATTCGCACCCGAGGGCTTCTTCTTCATTTTGGGGCACCTCGAACGAATGTGACCCACTTCTCCACATTTAAAAAAAGTCCGGGTGTCGGTGCGTGGTAGCGACGGTCTTGATTTGTGTTTGTCCTTGAATTCCTGCGCAACCTCGACAGTGTTCACCACATCGCGTCCAAAACTCTTCGAGTGAGTGTCCACCTCCGTCGATTGGGCAAATTGCGCCAACTCTTCTGCTTGCCGCAGGTAATCGGTGCGATGAATGTCCAATCTGGACAACATCGTAGTTCGCATGTGTGGGTCAGCATAATGAACGATGTTGTCCAGAACAAGGCTGTCTGCACCTCCACAGGCATCGCTGACGGCCGTCAAGTACAGAAAATCGTCTGTCCAGTTTCGATGGGATGCCTTGGGTGCTGTGAAATACTTCGTGCTTTGTGCCGGAGAAATCTTCGTCGTGAAGGTCTGCAGTAGTCTCTGCATCGCATGTTCCAGGGTTTGGTTTTCAAACCACCACGTTTCCACTTGACGACGATAGTAGGTCTGTGCCTTACCGGCTAGGTGTTGACCTAGAACATCAACCTTGATATTTTCCAGCCACACGAAACCACATGCACGCTCTGCGAACCTGACTTGGCGGACAAATTCCTTGCCCAACTCCCTGAATCCACAGCCAAGGCCGTGGTAGAGCTCCTTTCCGTCGAAAGGTTGCAACGCCAGCTTCTGCTGTTGCGCGTCCGGCATACCGACTCCCGGCTGCCCAGGGTAAACACCCCCCCCCGTTAGGCATACCCATACCGGGGTAGCGTCCTTCAGGTAAACCTGCCCGGTATATCCCAGGGACGGGTGCCTGACCCATGTTGACTCCTTCCTCTGCTTTTCTCGCGTGAGGACCTTCAACACCTGCCTGTTGTTGTCGCCGAATGCCGAAATAGGTTGCTGGTGACACGTTTGGGGATTCCTTAGGAGGGGTACGGTCCAAAGTCTGGAGATTAATCCCTGCCCCGACCTCCTGTTGCCGACTGGCCATGCTCGACTCGGGTGAGCCCTGCCAGTTCTTGCCGCCTTGCTCTCTCTGGGAGACCTCCATCCGGTTCATCCTTTCGGACAGGTCTCCTAGCATGGCTAGCATCTTCTCGATCGCCTCCGAGGGCGCTGCCGACTTTTCTTCCAGGTGATGGTCGTCGACCACCACGGTATGTGCAGCTGGTTCAGCCGCACCACCAACACGTTTGCTTGGGCTCATAACCTGTTAGATGTTGGTAACTCTTGCACTTGTGCAAAGGATGTAGGAAGTAAAAGTGAAATATATTGGGTGCTTAACTATTCTCCCTAGTCAACCCTATTTGTATGTATTTGCACCAGCACTGCAACTTGACCTGGTCAAGTTGTACTTTGGCATACGTCCAGCGTGACCATCCCATGTGCTGGTCCTGGTTCCATATGACGTCTGTATGTCTCTGTCTCTCCTACCATCTGTCTTTGATAGTCCGACATGACGATCGTCTTCTCGCGTCCCATATGTCAACCTGTCACGTCCCACCGTCAACTTGTCGACCAATCAGGTGAGGTCGACCTAAACCTGTAACAGGTCTTGCAGTTGCCACTACACCGACGTAACCTGTTAAAAGCTATATCTTCTAACAGTTAACACATTAATGACACTCCTGTCTGAACTCACCACAGTGCTCAAATGACCACCGTCCGAAAACGTACTCTGTCATAGTGTGCTAACTTCCACCAGTGCAGGTTCAAACAGCACACAAGTTGCTGTCCTGATAAACTTGTCACTTTGAGTGCTTGACAAGCTCTGGCGCTCCGTGCTTTCTGAGGCAGGATATTCAGTTAGCACGTAAGCTTTTTGTGCTCGATTGCGCAAATGACTCGTCATCATGAGGCTTCTGGTGCTTGGGCGTTTGAATGAGCTCCCACAACATGCAGCAGCCAATCCCTTAAACTTTCTTGGACGTCACTATTGTCGCATTCAAATATCATCGAACATCACTTCTTCGACCATATTTATCTTGCTGCAATGTCCTCCATGCATAGCCGAACTCGCCAATGCATAAGTACGCAAGACACGTCAGAGATGATGGATGACGTGGCAATGGGCGATGGGACGTGGTTTGTTACTGAGGCCTGATTGTGCTTCATGTAGCCTCCGAAGGGGTGGGCGAAGAACAGCTGCTAGTTGCATCACACAAGTCGAAGGCTAGGGTACATGTATTCTGGAATATCATTTCGCGTTTGTAGCTCCCTGATGCAACAACTGCCCCTGTCCTTACAGTAGACGTGCTCCTTTTATTTTGCGTCATCCGCCGGTACTCCTACTTTGTTACACCTTTGAAGTTGCTGCGTGCCTGTTACTGCCTTCGACGGAGACGTCGTCGTGTAGGATCGATACCCCACCGCGTCGTGGTCACAACCTAGGGATAGAAACAATGCTCAGGATACGCCCCAGTTGCTTCCATACATACACCTCCTCTTTCACCTCGTCAGAGTAGCCTCGGAGTGGGAGTTCCATGATGACGTTTGGATAGCTTCGGTGCCTGTCTGCGTGCACTACGTGCGAGCCGTACATCCAGCCTTCCAGCTACCGGTGATCTTCCGTGCGATGACATGTGAGCTTCTGTCAACAACAGGTTTGCGCGCATGGGCATATTTAGAAGATATGTTGCATGGCCTTCTTCACACTACGGAAGCACGATAGCTTTCGACCCTCAGGATCACTTTTTCTCGCAGTGAAATAAAGAAGTAGCTGTCACACTTCTTTCCGATCCATATCCCACATCTGGCACTTCGTGAGCTCGTTGCCACAGCCCAACCTATTACTGACTTCTATTGCGACGCAACTGCCAACTGTGCGCTGTCTTGTGCTGCATCCCGAAGCTTCGTCAAAGTCCTGGAAATGCCTCCACCTGCAATAGTTGACTCTGTACAGCCCCAATGACGTCTGTGTTCGCTGTTAAGTCGGGCACAGATTCTACATGTAGCGGAGCTACACAGCTCCTTAAGTCAGAGGAAGACTTAACGCTCTACGAGCAACTTAGTTCTAAAGAACTAACGACTTTACGAGTCAACAAGCTTTATAGCTTCAGATCCCTGTTCCAGGGGACCTAACGATTCAGTGAATCGACAGCACTCAGTGCTCAAGAGTAGCTACCTCAAGGAGGTGTCGCTAACTCTTAGTGATCAGAGATCAACGATCAAGACGGCTCGCAAGCCACGTGTCTTTCAGATCAAAATGGGAACTGATTTTATTCTTGTTAAAGCCTATAGAATATCTTAATCCTACTCAAAGATCTTTCGTATCTAATGGCTGACACTCGTCAGCCCCTACAAACCGATAAGATATTCTATATCACCTTCACAGAAGCGAACCCTCAGGTGTGTAACACCTCTGGTACAAAGTACCATGATTTCGTGCAACCCCGTTACACCCTCCCCCACCAGACGGACGTTTGCCAAAACGTCAATCGAACTCGTGTTCTCAGCGAGAACAGTGCGCGTACGGTAAACCTCACGGTAACGTACGCTCCAGCACGATGTCCTCATCACCAAACGAGTCAAAGGCTCTGTGTGACTACCTCAGAATAGAGGAAGAGGTGGACTATGGTAGCGATACCAGTGTCCACGGTGACACAGGGACAACGTCCGGCTCACTGATGCCTGAGGCACAACTTTCGAACGCCCCAAATCCGTTCGCTGAACGTGGAGGTGCGAGCGCGCCGTCAGCGCAGCATGCAGCATCTGGTTCTGATGAGACTATCATCGCGAACCCGCTCGATGAGCAACAACAACTGCTTGTTCAAAGAGAAGAAAACGCTCAGCGTTATGCACAGATGACTGCAACCCTTGAACGCCAGCGTGACTATGTGTTCACCCCACCCAGTGTGGAGGAACGTCTGCGTCAAGCGGCCGGCCAAACATTGGCAACGTGGGTTATTGGCCATGGGCCTAAGACTCCTGAGGAGGTGGTGAGCTGCCAGGCACTTCGTGAGAGGTACCTGGAGCCGCACCTAACGAATCAAAGTCAATACAAGGCACGCCTTGACATGCAAGCACGTGGTGCACCAGTTCCACCGATGAAGGGTATACCCATTCTCCTGCTCGCAGGCGAAACAGCGAGTGAAGAAGACGATGCCTTTGTTCACTGGGTGCACTATGTGCGTCGCCTCAGCAACATTTTTGCTCTAAGGGCTAATGCCCATGCGGCGGATGTGCGTCTCGAACGCAAGCTTCGGTATGATTATGCCAAGCTTAAGGCCAGAGGCCAATTGCGCAAGAGCACGCGCTATGCCTCGGCTACTAAGGTAGCCGCGAGTGCTGGTCAGTCTGTGACCAACAACCCGCCAACCCGCACCACTAGCGGTGGTGAACGGCCTCGGCCTCGAGATGACCATGGCCACGATGCTCAAAAGCCTCCAAAGCATATGGGCAGTCTTGCCGAAGGGGTACCTCAAATTCCCATGAGTTTTCAGACTCAGGGTACCCACGCCACTTTACCAGATACTGGTATTGGCCCTGACGACGACGTCGTTTCAGTAGTCTCTCGACATGGAATTGACGACACCCATGCTCATCGAGCAAAGTCGGTGGCGGCCGGTGTACCGGAGGAGGCCCACGAGAAATTGGTTCTCGAAGTGAAGGGTCTTCAAGAGGCCTTGTGTAAGTCCCAGTGCATGCTGGATGCGATGCAACGCCGCCTTCAGGCGATGGAGCAAGCTCAAACTCGGAGCGAGGCTCAGTTGGACTTGCTGATTCGTCTACAGCAATCCGGGGCAGTGCCCTTGTCGTCGGCGCAAGCGCCTCCAAGTTCACATGGGAAGGATCCCGGTACGGCTTAAGTAAGCCTACGTAGAACACTGGATGTGTGCGCAATTTGCGCGGGAGGTTTAACGTATACGCAAGTCCCTTCTTGGCCGTGACCGTAAACGGTCCAATAAAGCGTGGACGCAACTTTGTCTTAAAGACAGCAGACACTACATTTGTAGGTAGATTTTTAGCATTGAGTAGTACTTGGTCTCCGACCTCATAACGTTCAATACAATTTCTGCCTTTGGCATCAGCTTGTTGTTTTTGGGTATCTTGGCTATCAGCCATTGCGTCACGCACATGTCTTAAGACATTTAATCGCGTTGCGAGAAACTCGCTTACCTGTTTTTGAACAGTAGCAGGGCTGATATCAGCAAGCCGATCGGCAACCTCTCCCCCACCAAGCCCTGATTCACGTAGTGATAGCGTTAACGGAACGCGAGGGTGAGTGAGACCGTTTATATAGAACGGAGTAAAGCCTGTTGAGGCATGAACAGCGTTATTCAACGCAAACTCAACAATAGGGAGCATTGAGCTCCAACGCCTAGGCGTATCAGCGCAAACACTGCGCAAAATGTCGTTGATGACGCGGTTTACACGCTCAGTTTGACCGTCGGTCTGCGGATGATCCGCTGTGGACATGTCCAACCGAGTGCCAAGCACCTTGAAGATAGACTTCCAAAACTTCCCAGTGAAGCGGGGGTCTCTATCAGAGATAATTGCCACAGGCAAGCCATGTTGGCGAAACACACGGTCGATAAACAGCTTTGCTGTACCTTCCGCATCAATGCTATCCGGCACAGCCGCTAAGTGAGCCATCTTGCTCAATCGGTCAACAAAGACCACAATACCAGTGTTGCCTTCCGAATCTTTCGGTAGGCCAAACACAAAATCCATGCTCATGGACTCCCAACAACCACTGGGTACCGGCAAACTAGCCAGCGGCGCCGCCGCATGTGCCGAGGGTTTTACCCGTTGACGCGTTTCGCACGTACGCACATAGGTGCGCACCCACTTATAAAGTTTGGCCACCAATAACTTTGGCTCACCGAGCTATAAGTCTTCTCACGACCGAGATGACCACTTAAAGCAGTATCATGTGCCTCATAGAGGATCCGATACTTTAATTCCTCATCATGAGGTACTACGATACGAGGCTTATCCTCAATATCCGTGCGATAGCACAACAGGCCATTATCGATGGAATATCGATGTAGCCTCGCACGTAAACGTGCCGACAATTCTATGTCCGAGTTTTTAAACTCATCGCTCCCAAGAGCACGTAGCAAAGCTACACACTGATCGTCCTTGGCATATGCCGCACAAATTAAGTCAGGGACTGACGACGACAAGGTCGTAACATGAGCAAGCTCATAGTCAGGTCGACGCGATAGCGCATCATCCAAAGCGTTTTGCTTACCTGGCTTGTACTTTACCTCGAAGTTATATTCGGCAAAGAATGAAAGCCAACGAGCCATTCTCTGTGAGAGATGAGGCGACTGCGTCGCAGTGCGCAATGACGCATGATCGGTATAGATCACAAATGGCTTCGAGCCAAGCAGATGGACTCTGAATTTGACAAGAGCGTACTTCATAGCAAGTAGCTCTTTGTCATGAACAGGATAGTTCTTTTCAGCAGCTTTCAGCTGTCGAGATTCAAATGCGATGACGCGTTCGCGTCCGTCAACATCTGTTTGTAACAGAGCACTGCCTATGGCAAAGTCAGATGCGTCACAGACGACACTGAAAGGCCGACCAGAATCGGGCAAAGCCAATATTGGCGCATGAAGGAGACTCTCCTTAACTGCTTCAAAAGCATTATGTTCGGTGTTACCCCAACACCAACCCACATCCTTTTAAGGAGATTGGACAATGGCCGAGCCATATCTGCGTAATTTGCACTGTACTTATGTAAGTAATTGGCAAGGCCAAGCCACTTACGCAAGTCCTTTTGGTTCTTGGGGACTGGCCAATCGACTATGGCTTTTACCTTAGCGGGATCCGCTCGAAGGCCTCGCTTCCCAATGAAGCACCCTAGAAAGGGAATCTCTTCTGCACCAAAGATGCACTTCGATGCGTTCGCATACAGCTTATTCGTTCGCATGCACTCGAGCACAGCTCGTAAATGATCAATGTGGTTATCCACATCTGATCGCCCATTCATTGCACGACTATGGACAAAAATTTCATCAAAGTACGTTTGTGCATAGCCTCGATGAGGTCTGAATAGTTGCGTTACCAACCGGTTAAATGTAGCCGGGGCGTTAGATAGCCCTTGTGGCATAACGAGCCACTCCCAAAGCATACCGCTCGGAGTACCCACCGCTGTTAGCGGAATATCGCTTGCTCGCATAAGCAGTTGGTAATAACCATCGACTAAGTCGAGTGCACTGTACAGTGTACATCCCGCCATATTGTTCTGAAGAACATCCTTTCTAGGAATAGGCGTCTGCGCCGGTATAGTGGCTGCATTAAGCTTATTGTAAGCATGCACAATACGCCACTTGCCACTTGGCTTTCTGACACAAAATGTCGGTGTTGAATGGGGAGATTTACTCTCACGAACCATTCCAGCCGCGTGCTTAGCACGAAAGAAATCGTCAATGACGTAGCACTGTTCTTTAGGCAAAGGCCACTGCCGTGTTACACAGTATTTAGTCCCAGGAACCAAGTCAATCTCATGACGTACACCTCTATCGGGAGGTAAGGCAGAAGGTGGGTTGTGACACACCACATCTTGAAATTCCTTGACTAAAGGATAGAACGGATCCAAACAATCTTTAAGGATCGAAGATCCACTTCGTGCACTAAGTGCCGCCTTTGTATCCTCTAGGACAGACTCATCCATTAACGAGGAAGAATTTAAGTCAGTATCAGGTCTAATGACCGCTAACTCGGATAACTCTCCTGCCTTCAAGGCCTGGCTAAACTCGCCATCAGACATTTCGTCTAGCTCACACAGAGCGTCCACAGATGGAAGGGTTTCGAGGCTCACATTGCCATTAACCTGACCAGTCACTCCATTAACAAGTGTATATAGTGTATTGCTAATCTCACTATGTGACTATGAGGACGCCTGGCGCTTTACAGCTGCTACTCGGCGTCTCGATTGTCTCTTCGAGACCTTACACCCCTTAGGGGTCGGGACAATATTGTCCCCATGGTTACTACCAACCATAGTACGCTCTACACGAGAGCTTTTGTCTTGACCGACATTGGGTGTGGTGCCCTCACGGCCGTCCACACTATACGGCGTATCGCCAACAGTGTCATTACTGACATTAGGTGTGGTGCCCTTACGGCCGCCCACACTATACGGCGTATCGCCAACAACGCCATTACCGGCGTTAAGCGTGGTGCCCTCACGGCCGTCCACTCTATACGGCGTATCGCCAACAATATCATTACTGACATTAGTTGTGGTGCCCTCACGGCCGCCCACACCATATGGCGAATCGCCAACAACGCCATTACCGGCGTTAAGCGTGGTGCCCTCACGGCCGCCCACACTAAATGGCATATGGGTAACAATGTCATTACCGACATTCAGTACGGTGCTCTCACGGCCGACCGCACTCGGTGTAATTTCACGTGCCACCATACACACATCAAAGGAATCACGTCCTTGATCATTCGGCCCTAGGCCAACCATGCTTTCAGCATGCAGTGACTCGTTATCACAACGAGTACCACTCAACGGAGTACGTGCCGTTTCACTAGTTTTAGACGAGCTAGGCTCGAAACTTATGTTTTTAACATTGGAGTTAGATAACTCGGACATTCCAATATCCAGCACATTGACATCTTCTGTCAAAGGCTCGCGCCAATAGCGCTTCTGCTGCCTAGCAAAGGTGGGTTCATGACTCTCCAAAGCTTCGCTAGGAACATTGCGCGTAGCGCCTAAGGTCTTAGACCTCCAATCAATCCATGGCTCATGGCGCTCAAGCCAAGCCATACCTAGGATGAGATCATATCTCGAGTCCAAATCTAGGACAAGACAGCGCTCAATACTGTCAAAGTCTAAAAACTTTATACCTAAGTTCAATGGAACTTTAGGCACCGTTACGCGACTTCCAGTCGCTAAACGAACCGTGATAGAATCACCCTCATGCGCTGTAAGCGCCTCAGCATAACGCTGACTTCCCTCAAGGGAACGGCGTCGAGCATAATTGCAAGACGCTCCAGAATCGATCAATATCGACCAAGGCTTCTCGAAGCCCTTAATTTTCGCCTCAGCGACCAACAAGCCAGACTTGTATCCACGCACCATACCCGTAGGTATGGTACTCTTTGGGTCTAAGCCCTGCATTCCTTTACCTTCTAAAGGTGTAACAGAACATAGTTCTTCCCCATTAGGGCGCCCCGCGCCTACTGGGTGTCGGCATTTCCCCGTGCCATGCCAGACTTCTGACTCGTGCTCGAGTGTTGGCTCGTAGTCTGGCGTTGCTTACGCAAAGGGCAACCAGGCCGAAAGTGTTTAGTGCTTCCGCACGTAAAGCATCGTCTTACAACGTGTTTCTGCTCAGCAGCTTGAAGCTCAGCTTCACCTCCATCTTCAGCATAGCTGAGATCCATCGGTTCCGGCCTATTATAGGCAGTGGTACCCGAATAGTTTGCTCTCACAGAGCGAGGATTGTATCCGTTCCAACCAAGTCTGGCCGACTTGAAGTTATGCTCAGCATTAAGAGCAATTCTCATAGCCTCTTCAAACGTAGAGGGGTGAACCCGAAAAACTTCGGTTCTGGCAATGCCAGTACGTAGACCTTCCATGAAGATAGTCACATGGACTGCTTCAGGCAAAGGGTCAGACTGCATTGCAGCCATGAGCGTTCGCAGCTCTTGGACATAGTCCGATAATTCATTCTTACCCTGGCGGGTAGAAAGAAAGCGTGAGCGCACGCGGTAAGCCTGGTTAGGTGGAGAAAACACCTGTACCAATTGTAACTTGAGCGACTCCCTTGTGGGAAACGCTATGTCCACCGACGTGCTACACGTCAAGGCCCATTCTCTAGCTCTACCATCGAGCTTCGAGATAGCCAGCGAGACCTGTTGATGGTCAAGCGTGATCAGGCCTGATCTCATGGCCATCTCGATCTCACGGATCCAGAGGATGAGGTTCTCGCCCTCCTTACCGGAGTAGTTTTTTACTTCCACTCTAAGTGGACGAGGCTTAGCCTCTTCGTCTGGTACAGACACGTAGCGTGTAGGCATAGCCGACGCTATTTGGTCCTGGACCTGCCCTAAAAGGGTCGCTTCATACTGCATGAAGCTTTCAACACGTGCATTAAGCACTTCAGGACCTTGTGAAACAAGGAACTCCACGTACTCTGGACCCAAAGATGCGGTCAGCTTATCAAGCGCGACCTTTTGGGCCTCAGATAGGGGAGTGATGTTTTCCATCCTCACAGAGGATCAGTCTTAAAGACTCAGGCGTAGATTGACTACGAGTGCTACCAAGTGTAGCGGAGCTACACAGCTCCTTAAGTCAGAGGAAGACTTAACGCTCTACAAGCAACTTAGTTCTAAAGAACTAACGACTTTACGAGTCAACAAGCTTTATAGCTTCAGATCCCTGTTCCAGGGGACCTAACGATTCAGTGAATCGACAGCACTTAGTGCTCAAGAGTAGCTGCCTCAAGGAGGTGTCGCTAACTCTTAGTGATCAGAGATCAACGATCAAGACGGCTCGCAAGCCACGTGTCTTTCAGATCAAAATGGGAACTGATTTTATTTTTGTTAAAGCCTATAGAATATCTTAATCCTACTCAAAGATCTTTCGTATCTAATGGCTGACACTCGTCAGCCCCTACAAACCGATAAGATATTCTATATCACCTTCACAGAAGCGAACCCTCAGGTGTGTAACACCTCTGGTACAAAGTACCATGATTTCGTGCAACCCCGTTACACTACAGGTGTCTGTAACGATGACGGTATATCAGCTGCAATTGCTGGTGTCGGCGGCGCAGTTGTAAAGCGACCACACCAAAACATACTGGAGACACACACGCTTCCACCGAAACGAAGCCTCGTTGGCATTGTTCTTAAACTACTTGTTATTTCATAGACGTTCTCTTTCACCAAACTGATTTTTGACCTGGCTATCATGAATGCGCTCGGTGTACTCAGAGACACTTTCATTGGAAGAATGTTACGTGTATACATTCTGACGTTCAAGAGTATTGTTCGCTCTCCTACACACAACAGCTACTGTAGCAGGTGAGAAAGGGTATCTGAAGTTATCAACAAGATGTCCTCGAAGTTGACCATGAGCACTGGTACTAGAAACGTAGTAAATAATCGGATTGAGACGAGTTGATTGTCTTTGGTTGTATTCGTTGTCATTAAACTTACAGTTGACTGTATTTGGTGCGCTTCCTGCTCTTAGTCCTACAATGCACTTGCAGCGCGTCCGAATTACACTCGTTGAAGTTCCTCAAAATGGTTCAACAACGACGCAAATAAAGTTGATCGTCAAGAACATTTTGCCACAATGCGCAGGTGAGTGTCGATGTCCCGCAGGAGTGGTCCTGGTGCAGGGCACGTCGACAATGAATCGAATCACCCTGCAAAACGAAGAAGTTCCTACCCTTCACGGTCTGCCTACAACTCGCCGACACGTTCGCTGAGCACGAGCCCGTTTCCACGAAGAGAACTCCCCCAAGACCGTGATGACTCACGTTGAGATCCAGTACCGGTTCTTCATGTACAGTAGCACCGAGCCAGATACTCGTCGTTTAGTGGTGCGTCTGGGCACATTTGAGCACGTTGTGAGCCCGAGCCGACCTGAAGAGCAAGAAGTCGACTACTAGGTGATGACCAGAAATTACGTCAAGATGCCTCACTGAAACTACCGCAGTAGCAACAGGAGTCCTAGTCAAGCTTCCTCTGTCCCCTGAATCAAATTGCCCCGAGCGCGAGAGCAGCCATGCCATCCGGTAGAGTGCACACGAGAATCCAACCCTGGACTTGGTCAACGGACGGTTTCCACGGGCATTTTCGGGAGTGCCCCGCCGTGACGCCCGACGACTTGAGCCAGCAGAATGAGAAAGCTAGGAGTAGTAAGACTGTGTCACGGTCGGTGACACGAGATGGTTACCACACAACCAGACATGAGAAAGCTAGGAGTCGTAAGACTGTGTCACGGTCGGTGACACGAGATGGTTACCACACAACCAGACATCATATCAGTGAAAAGTAGCTATAACAACGGACAGTCTGAGTCTTTCTCACTTTAAGATTGAGGAAGGAAAAAAAACTCGAAGGTGACAACCCCCTCTGTTGGACTGAGCAGTATACACCAACAGGTGTAAACATGCTGGAACTGTACCAACCGTAGCGGTGCGTCCCAGCCAACCACTGTCCCGGTGCTGTGTCCCAGCATCATACTGAGCCACTATACAATCAAGAAAACGGCATCTCGCATGAGGAACACGACATCTCGCATGAGGAACGCGACGTCGTAAATGAGAAACACGACATCTTGAATGAGGAACACTATATCTTGTACTTCGTCGCACTCTCACTTTGTTGTCTCTGATGTCCGATGTCTTGTACTGCGTCACACATTGTTCGAAGTCAAGTACATCGGTTTTGATCAGCATTTTCTAGACGACTTCTACCTTCCCGGTCGTTGTTAACTTAATCATCTAGCAGATGGACAGTCTGGTAAGACGAAACAGCCCCTCCTTTGTCGGTTCTCTTCCCCGATTGGTGCAGATGCTGACACATCATTACTAATCATCGCAACAATGTCTTCTGTTCCGACCCCCCCTGACACGCTATCTCAAGAATGCCAAAAAAGACGACCAACGACCCCTTCCGTATGGTGCATACCAGGTGGCGGCTGTTCATAGTTCGTTGCGTCATCGCTTCGTTGATGCTACATTCGACGTCCACAACGGCTACCATGAAGGGCACCCTCTCGAAGACGATCATACGCTGATGAAGTATTTCCTCACTTTTATGCGCAGAGAAATCACAAACTTCTGCTTGTTACTTCAGACGAAGCCCTTGTTGCTAGTTGGTGCCCGGGTTTCCACGGATACCAGCTGGACTTTTCGAGAGGTTCTAAAGAGTTGTGAACTCGTGGTCTACCGACCATTAGACTTGGTGGTGATGCTGAGGTAATGTGCGTGCACCTTATATTGCATTTCTATTCGTTATTGACGTCAACGACGACGCTCGAAACATTCCTCAAAGTTACCCCTTCACGGTAGTTAGTGCCAACAGCTCGTTCCAGATGTGCCAGATCATACGTGGCATCTTTGTATGAGGTCGTCAGGACGCGGTGGGATGCGGTGAGAACTGCAAATTTTTACAGAATGAGAAAAGCTTCACTGTGACCCGTCCGAGCGTTTTATGTATGGGTAACAGAAAATTGTGTCGATCAAGCTTTCGTGAATCGAGACTAGGCAAGGTGAAGCGCACTGGATGCAGCAACTCGAAACAAAGCTGTACAAATTGGCATTGCAGTTGTAACCAAATGTTATAGAGCAGTACGAAGCCACGAAATATAGATGACAGATGGCCGTCCGTTCCCACGCTCGCAGACTTATAATAGTACCTCTCGTCCACAACTTAGAAGCTCGTTTTTACACAATGCTGGAAGTATGGTCGTGCGATTGTATCCTTCGTCTTGCTTTTTGGATGCATGAACGACCCATCATATACCTGGATCTCTGGCGATCTTGAACCTCGAGCAGTGCCGGACGAGAGCGCCCTACAGATGGCATAGTCAGCAGGTCGCAACCCTCTCGAACGTAAAATTTTACAGCAGGCTGAAACTGAATACATGGATGGTCAAGTCTGTGTTCGGCTAGGTGGATCGTCTCCTAACGTTTGACCTTTCTTATGCGCTCAACGGCCTAGACCTCCGTTTTTTTCGTCTTGACTCTCATTCTGACATACGCCAAGCCAGGCGAACTACCCCACAGCATCGTACGCAGCTATCGTCCGCAATCATGAACATCAGGATCTGCGCATTCGTCATCCTCGCCGCGGCCGTCTCGATCGTCTCTACCCATGCCCAGTGGTTGCCGTACTGTGGTAATACGCTAGCTTGCGATTCCCAGGCGAAAAAGGAATCTGCAGCAAGAGAGTGTTGGCTCCGTGATTCCGAAACCAATTTCAGCGCGCGTGAGTGTTGCACCGCGCACTGCTCACCGAAGAAGCATTTTCGCCAATAGTTACGCGCAGGCCAGCCATAGATCATAGCGTCACTCGAAGCGTTCTGTTTTGTTTTGTTTGACGCAGCCATTGGATTCCCGACTCGCACCACTACTGTGCTAGTCTACCAACCAACTTTTGTCTGCACGGTCTTTGATGTAGTAGTTTGAATACAAAGCAGTTTTACTTGCCACAAACTTGTGCTCTTCCATTGTGCATTGTCGTTTGAGCATCCATCGCAATGTAATAATCGATTCTACTTTACGCCGACCTGGTCAAAAAGTCGAGTGACGGCCAGGCGTATACGACGTCACGTTACTTACTCTCAACAGATGTGGTTTAGTCCTCTAAGAATGGGATTGAAAATGACATCGCCGTATTAAGACAGGAGAAAAAGCTCCGTACTTTTCAGTCGACAAACTTACTAAACAGAACTTACGTCACCCTTCTCTGTCGGTGGCAGAGGGGCCTCCCCTGATAAGATAGAAGAGCAAGCTCTGGGGCTCGCCCTTTGGTATGTGTAATTAATTCAGTACAAAGAACTGATAGATAGGGGAGCAAGCTCTGGAGCTCGTTCTTTGATAAGTAATCCAGTTCATCGAACTGAACTAGTTGCAAAACACCGTACAACAAAAGACGCTGAAGAAAGATTAACATGTTGTCAATTTATGTATCAATCTCGTACAGCATACTAGAGCAACGCGGATAAGCCTTTGCTTATGAGCGTCTAGCATTTACTTGTGTGACCATAATCACTATTGACCGATTATAAGCCATTAACAAGCGTGTGACACAATATTGACCAAGCCAAAGAGTGACTCTGGATATGCCTATGTACCTATGAGGGGAGAACAGGCTAGGTCGCACTTAGTTCGCGCGGGGTACACCTAGCCACGTTATTTACAGACACTCACACAGACACAGACGCACAGACACAGATACGTACGAATAAAAAGTTCGGCATTCACCTGGCGCACAGTCACTAATATTTTCACTCTTAGAGCTCGCAAATTGTTTTTGGGTATCGATAGAAAGCTCGCATGACAAACTGAAATTGTTTGAATGACCAATCTGATCAATAATCTTTTTAGGATGTATGGACGGTCAGGGGGCGCTGAGCAAACGTATCGCTTTCTCTCCCTCCCTTCAACCTCCTACCCCATCAGCATTTCACTTTACGTGCCGATCAAGTACTTGCTTTTAGCCAACACAAAATGGAATGCGTCTCAAAATACTGTGCATGATCCATATGACTGTGGCACGATCCGTGGCCTGACTCATAAGGGATTCGGTAAGTGCACAATACGCACGAGCAAGTGCACTTTATGTGAACCACTTGCTTACGTAGCGATAGTTTTGCTAAGGGAAGCGCCACGGAGCTCTCACTTTTGCGAATGAACACTCGACCTCCTTTACAATTTAGGCTTCGATGCTTTTGATTGCATACATACAGCACAAAACGAGTTTCTTACAAAATCGACACATGATAACGACTCCAAAACGATGGAAAAGGATCTAGATTCGAAGTCAACGGGGAACAGAAGACAGGAGAGACGCTGTTTGAGATGTCGACGACCAGAAGTCTAGTGAATTTGTGGTGCCAACAGTGCGTAGCGTGCGGTATGCGGTGTATTTACTCTACCGCATCGACTTACGCACAACTTGTTCGAAATTACTTTGTCCACGAGGTCCTCTGTATATGCACGCAGCACCTTCGTTGTTGCAGACTACAGAGTATCGCATCTTGTTGCAGGCATTATCGAGTGAGTCGAAATGCCAGCTTCGCCCACACGGTTAATGTCATTGGCGTCCAGACGAGTAGCACAACGTCCCACATTGAATGCCTGGAGGCGAATGCCATCGGAACAGCATAGACGAAGTGACAATGTCGATGAGAACTCCTTCTCACGGATGTGGCTTTTTCAGCGGCAGCGGATTACATGGTTTGTAAATCGACGCCGTCTCGGTGCTTGTGCATCATTGTTATAACCTGGCACATTACCAACTATCGTTTCCTACTGTGTGTATTGTTATCTACAGCAAGAGCACATAAAACGAAGATAAGGGTACTGTCGCATGGTTGCCGAAGCACGTGTACAATCGATCCGCGTTCTGATTCGTCGATGTTAACATAGCACCGTCTACTGCTTTTTATGTTCATGGATAGGTTTGGAAGAATCGAGAAGGACTGGCTGAGAAGAAGCACAGCATGACGTCATCGGGTGACGTCACAAGGAGAGCTTCTTAAACCTTCTGGAAGATCTTGAGAAGATCGAAGGGTGTTGATTGGTCCAGATAAACCAGTGAACCTTCTAGAAGATCTTGAGAAGATCGAAGGGTGTTCATTGGTCTAGCTAAATCAGTGGGACTGATATAGTTTGTCTAAGTATAGGAAATGAGTGGCTTAGAGGTAGCGAAGCAAGTTTGCGAACTAAGGACCATAAATATATTCACTTCACAATTTGCCTTCGCCTGCGCACATCAAAATCAACAGGTTAACAGCCGCAACGCGCTCCAAACCGCCAAGCCACCACGTCCACCATGACAAACAAGCGGTGTGAAGTCCTCCTGGGTAGTGGAAACTACTTCCACTGGGAGTATAACATGCGCATGACGTTGGCGCGCAAGGGGCTGCTGGTGCACGTTCAAGTCATCAAGAAAGAAGAAGAGATGACGGATGCCTGGCTGTTCAACGACGCTAAGGCACTGGGTATCATCGCTCAAGGCATAGAGCTACAGCACCAGACCAAGATACGATCGGCGACGACAGCTATGCACGCGTGGGTCATCTTGCGGGACTTCTACAACCGCACCACGCTCCACAATCGTGTCGAGATGACACGTCGTCTGCATGAGTTCAAGATGGAGAATGGTTCGACCATGTCGAAGCACTTGGATGCTTTTGACGAGCTTGTTGTCGGCCTCCAGACACTTGGAGAGCCAGTCGATGACTCTCGGCAGCTAGTGGTGCTGCTTAGTAGTCTTCCGACGGACTATGAGCTCATCTCGTCAATTGTGGAGAATTCCAAGGACATTACGCTCATCGAGGTCAAGGAAAAGCTGCTCAAGGAGCATGAACGATTGCAGAGGAAGGAGACTACGGAGAAGGCGTTTCCTGTAAGCAGCAACGATAGACGGTTCAAGGGAGGCCAAGGTAACTGCCGCAAGGGAAACTATCTACGGAAAACCAACACCGGAATTAAAGGCAAGTGCTTTAAGTGTGGTCAAGTCGGACACTATAAGCGGGACTGCCTGAAGCGTAGCAATGGCGAGGAAGAAGGTGCTGTGTTTGCTGCTGGTGTGTTGCAATGCGAAGAATGGCTTATCGACAGCGGGGCTACGTCGCACATGACACCACATCGGAGCGATCTATTTGAGTACAAGGAGTTGAAGACTGGTCAACAAGTCTCTATCGCTGATGGCAAGAAGCTGCAGGTAGCTGGAGTGGGAACATTCAAGCTGAAAGGTCTAGACGGTCGACGGATCATGATGGTCGATGTCATGCACATACCAGGACTTGACAAACGATTGCTGTCCGTTGGCAAACTGGCAGGACGAGGCATGAGGGCGGAGTTTCAAAGCTCGTCCTGCATCATTTGGAGTGCCAAGCGCGCGATTGCAAGCGGCAAGAAGATTGGCAAGGCGTACTTCCTGGATTGCGAACAAGAAGAAGCCCGGCTTGTAGAATACGCAGGGGCTAAAAGTGAGTGGGAGCTTTGGCACGCTCGCTTGGGACACCCCGGAAGATCTGGTATGGACAAGACACAGCGCGCTACGAGTGGTATGCCGGCGGTAAAGCAGGGCATCGAGAAGCTGTGCAGTGGATGCATGAAGGGCAAGCTGACGATCGATACATTCCCGTCTCAATCGCTAACAAGGACGTCACGTGTGTTGGAACTAGTACACACGGACGTGATGGGACCGATGAAGACGGTCTCAAAGGGTGGTGCACGATTCGTATTGACATTCGTAGACGACTACTCAAGATTTGTGGCAGCGTACTTCATGAAGCACAAGAGCGAGGTGGCCGCAAGGCTTAGCGAGCTTAAGGCTTTCTATGAGAATCAATGGGGCAAGCACTTGAAGTGTATACGGTTGGATAACGGGACGGAGTTTGTCAACAAGAAGATTGCCCATATATGCGCCCGTAATGGTATCATGCACCAGCGGACAGTACCATATAGTCCGCAACAGAACGGCGTTGCGGAACGCATGAATCGCACTATCATGGAGAAGGCAAGGAGCATGCTGTACTACAAGGGTATCGACATGCAGTGGTGGGCAGAGGCGGTCAGTACGGCTGTGTACTTGATCAACAGATCCACAAACTCTGCAAATTCGGACGTAACACCGTTCGAGGTTGGTTTCAAGATGAAGCCGAGTATTGAGCATTTGTGTGTGTTTGGATCTCAAGGGTATGCTCACATTGACGACGCCAAGAGGACGAAGCTCGAACCAAAGAGTTACCGGTGTATGTTCCTCGGATATGCGGAGAACACCAAGGGATACAGGGTGTTCAATCTGGAAAGGTCGAAGGTTGTCATATCGCGCTCCGTAAAGCTGGACGAGCGGGAAGTTGAAGGCATATACGACACGGTGGTACCAGATAAAGTACCAGTCGTCAAGTATATTAGGGACACTGATGAAGCAGTGATTCCGGTGGTTCGTCGGTATGATGGAGACGAGACGATGGAAGATGTCGAAGAAAGCGCTCCTGATGTCGAGATGGACGAGATAGAATCGGCTCCATTCGAAACAGGTATCATCATACCTCAAGTACTCGATCCAGAAACTCAAGAACCAAGAGGCGATGAGATAACGGGATATCAAGCTCCGAGACAAGCTTTTCAGGAGGACAGGTTGGTATTTCAGCCGGAGATAAATCGGACAAGACGCTCACGAGACAGAATGCTGCTGCTTGAGAATGGGAATAGCAGTGAAGACACGTCAGAAGGTAGCGATGGACCACCTTCTCCAAAGCGTGCAAGAATTGATGACGAAGGTCTCATTGCAGAGGCTGTATTAGCCTATGCTGCAAGCGTTGGCGAGGCGGACGACGCTCCATCAACATACAGCCAAGCGTTAAAAGGCGAAGACAACAGCAAGTGGATTCAAGCGATGCAAGCGGAGCTCAAGGCGCACGCCGATAACGGGTCCTGGACACTGGTACCAAAACGGCAAGACATTCGACCAATCGGGTGCAGATGGATATTCGCTAAGAAGCGAAACGAACACGGACAAGTGGTGCGCTACAAAGCTTGACTCGTCGCAAAGGGGTTCAAGCAGAAATTCGGTGTCGACTTCTTCGAGACGTACTCTCCCGTGGCAAACATGAACTCGATCAGGGTTGTGCTAGCTGTGGTGGTGACAAAGGGATACGTCACTGAGCAGCTGGACGTAGACACGGCGTTCTTGAACAGTGATCTCAAGGAAGAGGTGTACATGGAAGTGCCAAATGGCATAGCTAATGCGGAGAAGATGATGTGCAAGTTGGACAAGGAAATCTACGGTCTCAAGCAGGCTGCAAGTGCGTGGAACAAGACAATCCATGCTGTATTCTTACAGATCGGATTTCGTAGCAGCGGAGCAGATCAGTGTATCTACGTCAAGCATCGAGATGACAACTATGTCTATGTTTGTCTCTACGTCGACGACATGATCATCGCCGCCAAGACCAGCAGGGAGATTCAAGAGGTCAAGACAGCACTCAAGAGCTCATTTCGTATGAAGGAGCTAGGCAAGGCTAAATTTATTCTTGGCGTGGAGATTGATCATGACCACAACTGCAGTAAGCTGATGATTCGACAGACTCGATACATCGATGATGTGGCCAGCCGTTTTAATCAAGAGGACGCAAAGGCAGTGGTCAACCCATGCGAGTCCGGCCTGAAGCTGTCAGAGAAGCAATCCCCAACGACGGATGTCGATAGAGCATAAATGCAGTCAAAGCCGTACAGGTCGCTGATCGGATGTTTGCTATACATCACGACATGTACGCGCCCAGATGTGATGTATGTCATCACGCAGTTATCAAGGTTTTTGGAGAATCCAGGTCAGCAACATTGGAAGGCAGCCATTCGTGTTCTTCGGTATCTCAAGACGACAAGAGACTACGGGATAATCTACGACGGCAGCGCTAGCGAAGTAACAGCTACAGCGTATACGGACGCGGACTGGGGTAGCAACATCGATGATCGACGCTCCGTGTCAGGGATAATGGTGATCATCGGTGGCGCAACAGCCATATACAAGTCCAAGTATCAACGCATGGTGGCTCTAAGCTCTGCTGAGGCAGAGTACATGGCTTTAAGCCTGTGTACACAGGAAGTGTTATGGGTTCGTGCGCTGCTTAAGGATCTAGGTCACGAGCAAGTGGGAGTAACGTGGGTCTGGGAAGACAATCAAGGAGCAATTGGGCTTGCCAGCAATGCCGGCTACAATGCCAGAACCAAGCACGTTGACATTCGTCACCACTTCATCCGGGAGAATGTGGCCCACGATATCATCGTGGTCAAGTACATCTCCACCATGGACCAATTGGCCGACATGCTAACGAAGGCTCTGGGGACCAAGCGACTGAACTATTTGATACAAGCAAGCTGCATTGGACCCAAGGGCATTTAGCAATAGCGGTATGTGGGAGTGTTAACATAGCACCGTCTACTGCTTTTTATGTTCATGGATAGGTTTGGAAGAATCGAGAAGGACTGACTGAGAAGAAGCACAGCATGACGTCATCGGGTGACGTCACAAGGGAGAGCTTCTTAAACCTTCTGGAAGATCTTGAGAAGATCGAAGGGTGTTGATTGGTCTAGATAAACCAGTGAACCTTCTAGAAGATCTTGAGAAGATCGAAGGGTGTTGATTGGTCGAGCTAAATCAGTGGGACTGATATAGTTTGTCTAAGTATAGGAAATGAGTGGCTTAGAGGTAGCGAAGCAAGTTTGCGAACGAAGGACCATAAATATATTCACTTCACAATTTGCCTTCGCCTGCGCACATCAACATCAACAGGTTAACAGCCGCAACGCGCTCCAAACCGCCAAGCCACCACGTCCACCATGACAAACAAGCGGTGTGAAGTCCTCCTGGGTAGTGGAAACTACTTCCACTGGGAGTATAACATGCGCATGACGTTGGCGCGCAAGGGGCTGCTGGTGCACGTTCAAGTCATCAAGAAAGAAGAAGAGATGACGGATGCCTGGCTGTTCAACGACGCTAAGGCACTGGGTATCATCGCTCAAGGCATAGAGCTACAGCACCAGACCAAGATACGATCGGCGACGACAGCTATGCACGCGTGGGTCATCTTGCGGGACTTCTACAACCGCACCACGCTCCACAATCGTGTCGAGATGACACGTCGTCTGCATGAGTTCAAGATGGAGAATGGTTCGACCATGTCGAAGCACTTGGATGCTTTTGACGAGCTTGTTGTCGGCCTCCAGACACTTGGAGAGCCAGTCGATGACTCTCGGCAGCTAGTGGTGCTGCTTAGTAGTCTTCCGACGGACTATGAGCTCATCTCGTCAATTGTGGAGAATTCCAAGGACATTACGCTCATCGAGGTCAAGGAAAAGCTGCTCAAGGAGCATGAACGATTGCAGAGGAAGGAGACTACGGAGAAGGCGTTTCCTGTAAGCAGCAACGATAGACGGTTCAAGGGAGGCCAAGGTAACTGCCGCAAGGGAAACTATCTACGGAAAACCAACACCGGAATTAAAGGCAAGTGCTTTAAGTGTGGTCAAGTCGGACACTATAAGCGGGACTGCCTGAAGCGTAGCAATGGCGAGGAAGAAGGTGCTGTGTTTGCTGCTGGTGTGTTGCAATGCGAAGAATGGCTTATCGACAGCGGGGCTACGTCGCACATGACACCACATCGGAGCGATCTATTTGAGTACAAGGAGTTGAAGACTGGTCAACAAGTCTCTATCGCTGATGGCAAGAAGCTGCAGGTAGCTGGAGTGGGAACATTCAAGCTGAAAGGTCTAGACGGTCGACGGATCATGATGGTCGATGTCATGCACATACCAGGACTTGACAAACGATTGCTGTCCGTTGACAAACTGGCAGGACGAGGCATGAGGGTGGAGTTTCAAAGCTCGTCCTGCATCATTTGGAGTGCCAAGCGCGCGATTGCAAGCGGCAAGAAGATTGGCAAGGCGTACTTCCTGGATTGCGAACAAGAAGAAGCCCGGCTTGTAGAATACGCAGGGGCTAAAAGTGAGTGGGAGCTTTGGCACGCTCGCTTGGGACACCCCGGAAGATCTGGTATGGACAAGACACAGCGCGCTACGAGTGGTATGCCGGCGGTAAAGCAGGGCATCGAGAAGCTGTGCAGTGGATGCATGAAGGGCAAGCTGACGATCGATACATTCCCGTCTCAATCGCTAACAAGGACGTCACGTGTGTTGGAACTAGTACACACGGACGTGATGGGACCGATGAAGACGGTCTCAAAGGGTGGTGCACGATTCGTATTGACATTCGTAGACGACTACTCAAGATTTGTGGCAGCGTACTTCATGAAGCACAAGAGCGAGGTGGCCGCAAGGCTTAGCGAGCTTAAGGCTTTCTATGAGAATCAATGGGGCAAGCACTTGAAGTGTATACGGTTGGATAACGGGACGGAGTTTGTCAACAAGAAGATTGCCCATATATGCGCCCGTAATGGTATCATGCACCAGCGGACAGTACCATATAGTCCGCAACAGAACGGCGTTGCGGAACGCATGAATCGCACTATCATGGAGAAGGCAAGGAGCATGCTGTACTACAAGGGTATCGACATGCAGTGGTGGGCAGAGGCGGTCAGTACGGCTGTGTACTTGATCAACAGATCCACAAACTCTGCAAATTCGGACGTAACACCGTTCGAGGTTGGTTTCAAGATGAAGCCGAGTATTGAGCATTTGTGTGTGTTTGGATCTCAAGGGTATGCTCGCATTGACGACGCCAAGAGGACGAAGCTCGAACCAAAGAGTTACCGGTGTATGTTCCTCGGATATGCGGAGAACACCAAGGGATACAGGGTGTTCAATCTGGAAAGGTCGAAGGTTGTCATATCGCGCTCCGTAAAGCTGGACGAGCGGGAAGTTGAAGGCATATACGACACGGTGGTACCAGATAAAGTACCAGTCGTCAAGTATATTAGGGACACTGATGAAGCAGTGATTCCGGTGGTTCGTCGGTATGATGGAGACGAGACGATGGAAGATGTCGAAGAAAGCGCTCCTGATGTCGAGATGGACGAGATAGAATCGGCTCCATTCGAAACAGGTATCATCATACCTCAAGTACTCGATCCAGAAACTCAAGAACCAAGAGGCGATGAGATAACGGGATATCAAGCTCCGAGACAAGCTTTTCAGGAGGACAGGTTGGTATTTCAGCCGGAGATAAATCGGACAAGACGCTCACGAGACAGAATGCTGCTGCTTGAGAATGGGAATAGCAGTGAAGACACGTCAGAAGGTAGCGATGGACCACCTTCTCCAAAGCGTGCAAGAATTGATGACGAAGGTCTCATTGCAGAGGCTGTATTAGCCTATGCTGCAAGCGTTGGCGAGGCGGACGACGCTCCATCAACATACAGCCAAGCGTTAAAAGGCGAAGACAACAGCAAGTGGATTCAAGCGATGCAAGCGGAGCTCAAGGCGCACGCCGATAACGGGTCCTGGACACTGGTACCAAAACGGCAAGACATTCGACCAATCGGGTGCAGATGGATATTCGCTAAGAAGCGAAACGAACACGGACAAGTGGTGCGATACAAAAGTTGACTCGTCGCAAAGGGGTTCAAGCAGAAATTCGGTGTCGACTTCTTCGAGACGTACTCTCCCGTGGCAAACATGAACTCGATCAGGGTTGTGCTAGCTGTGGTGGTGACAAAGGGATACGTCACTGAGCAGCTGGACGTAGACACGGCGTTCTTGAACAGTGATCTCAAGGAAGAGGTGTACATGGAAGTGCCAAATGGCATAGCTAATGCGGAGAAGATGATGTGCAAGTTGGACAAGGAAATCTACGGTCTCAAGCAGGCTGCAAGTGCGTGGAACAAGACAATCCATGCTGTATTCTTACAGATCGGATTTCGTAGCAGCGGAGCAGATCAGTGTATCTACGTCAAGCATCAAGATGACAACTATGTCTATGTTTGTCTCTACGTCGACGACATGATCATCGCCGCCAAGACCAGCAGGGAGATTCAAGAGGTCAAGACAGCACTCAAGAGCTCATTTCGTATGAAGGAGCTAGGCAAGGCTAAATTTATTCTTGGCGTGGAGATTGATCATGACCACAACTGCAGTAAGCTGATGATTCGACAGACTCGATACATCGATGATGTGGCCAGCCGTTTTAATCAAGAGGACGCAAAGGCAGTGGTCAACCCATGCGAGTCCGGCCTGAAGCTGTCAGAGAAGCAATCCCCAACGACGGATGTCGATAGAGCATAAATGCAGTCAAAGCCGTACAGGTCGCTGATCGGATGTTTGCTATACATCACGACATGTACGCGCCCAGATGTGATGTATGTCATCACGCAGTTATCAAGGTTTTTGGAGAATCCAGGTCAGCAACATTGGAAGGCAGCCATTCGTGTTCTTCGGTATCTCAAGACGACAAGAGACTACGGGATAATCTACGACGGCAGCGCTAGCGAAGTAACAGCTACAGCGTATACGGACGCGGACTGGGGTAGCAACATCGATGATCGACGCTCCGTGTCAGGGATAATGGTGATCATCGGTGGCGCACCAGCCATATACAAGTCCAAGTATCAACGCACGGTGGCTCTAAGCTCTGCTGAGGCAGAGTACATGGCTTTAAGCCTGTGTACACAGGAAGTGTTATGGGTTCGTGCGCTGCTTAAGGATCTAGGTCACGAGCAAGTGGGAGTAACGTGGGTCTGGGAAGACAATCAAGGAGCAATTGGGCTTGCCAGCAATGCCGGCTACAATGCCAGAACCAAGCACGTTGACATTCGTCACCACTTCATCCGGGAGAATGTGGCCCACGATATCATCGTGGTCAAGTACATCTCCACCATGGACCAATTGGCCGACATGCTAACGAAGGCTCTGGGGACCAAGCGACTGAACTATTTGATACAAGCAAGCTGCATTGGACCCAAGGGCATTTAGCAATAGCGGTATGTGGGAGTGTTAACATAGCACCGTCTACTGCTTTTTATGTTCATGGATAGGTTTGGAAGAATCGAGAAGGACTGACTGAGAAGAAGCACAGCATGACGTCATCGGGTGACGTCACAAGGAGAGCTTCTTAAACCTTCTGGAAGATCTTGAGAAGATCGAAGGGTGTTGATTGGTCTAGATAAACCAGTGAACCTTCTAGAAGATCTTGAGAAGATCGAAGGGTGTTGATTGGTCGAGCTAAATCAGTGGGACTGATATAGTTTGTCTAAGTATAGGAAATGAGTGGCTTAGAGGTAGCGAAGCAAGTTTGCGAACGAAGGACCATAAATATATTCACTTCACAATTTGCCTTCGCCTGCGCACATCAACATCAACAGTCGATTCAGCTTCAGTATAGCTAAGAATCAATTCAACATTGAGTAGACAAGCAGCCGCGTGCCGCAGATGAAAGATCATGGCATCTACGCCAACAGCAGCTACTGCGTATCGCTGAATTGTTGCGTGATCGGTCCATAAAAGAAACACAGATGAAATTAGCATTACGTAAAGAGAATTCGTGCCGTTCAACATGCCGTTGTTATCGCACATACAACACGCCTCATTATCACGCGAACTCGTCACAAAGCTCTTCTTCTTACTGAAATTGACCTTCGTCCTTCGCATATCGCATGCCACTATCACAAACACAACTTCAACCGTAAGCAAAATGACAACCATTCGACTTCACACAACTTCTGCTAACGCTGTACACAGAATTTTAATCGACGCACGAAACACGGACATGCGCACGTCAAGCGTTGAGATGTTCGGCATGTGCTCTCATCTAAGTTTACAGCGCACCCGTCAAGCCTAAGCTCACCACCGAGAACTTTCGGCCCTGCAAATAGATACTCTGCAGGCATCGCAGGCGTACAACTATCCTGACCGTACTTCCTTCTTCTTCGTTCTATCTGTCATTGTGTTACGTCTCTACGATCTAGACTGCCGTTTTCTGTCCCATTTCTGCAGTCACCGCTATTGTTCTCCGCGCAAATAACTTCGTGATCGCTACAGCACCGTCACAAAGAATACGACGTGGCAAGAATACACCCACTCTTTTGATGACGGCAGTGGACGACGCTTCATACACACAGACAAAACGTAAGTCGTTGGGACAGCTCAACAACAACTTCACAGTCAACATTGCTACATTCAGGCCGTAGTCGGGTTTTCAGCGTTAGCCCAAATCATCGATAATCGTGTCGTAGATGATCCGTATTCTATGCGAATGTGCTAGAGTAGCATTGCTTATGCAAGGCGATTACGAATGGAATCGGTTTGATGTATCTGATGTCAGACCTGATGAGAACTCGGAAAACTAAGTGGAGGTCTCAAGAACGCGGATGAACGGCATTAGGTAATGCGAGTAAAACAGTTTTAGATGACGCTTAGTCGACTTAGTTCGTTTTCTGCGTTCCGACCAGGCACTTTTGAGCGCGTTAGTTGATACTCGTGAACAGTATTCCTGGTGAATAAGAGCGATTGAAACCCCACGAATTGAGTAAGTGAGCTTCGTTGAACCTTAACAGATCTCTAATAACTAGCTGAGGGCTAACACGCCAAGCAAAATTGATCTGACGCCAACAGACCACCGCGAACGCTGAATGTTGCTTTGCACATGTTTATTCGACCCGTGGTTTCGACATACCACGCCATTCCGAGCTCGTCTTCGCAGAATTTCTGCTTTCACTGTGTCCGATTCAGCACTGGCTCATTAGGTCTTCGAGCCAGCCTGTTGGAGTTGCACGTAGAACTCGCAGTACTTGCTTCGTATGACATCCCGAATGTGTCATACTCGATATGACGAAACAAAGGTCCGTTCACTTCTTATCTACAGCCTCAATTTTGTAGGCTCGCAAAGCCGTCATGGATTTACGATACTCCTTTCTCGCGGTCTTTCGAGATTGGTCCATGCTGGACGGATATGTATCGCTGGACAGAAGAGGAGTAATTCACGTCTTGATTGCCATCATGTGTGTTCGTACACGAGTATGAACCCAGCGAAGCACTCGAAAGGTGTAAAGGGATCGGTATCGACTTGAGCTTAGACTCACCCATAGATGTTAACACATTAATGACACTCCTGTCTGAACTCACCACAGTGCTCAAATGATCACCGTCCGAAAACGTACTCTGTCATAGTGTGCTAACTTCCACCAGTGCAGGTTCAAACAGCACACAAGTTGCTGTCCTGATAAACTTGTCACTTTGAGTGCTTGACAAGCTCTGGCGCTCCGTGCTTTCTGAGGCAGGATATTCAGTTAGCACGTAAGCTTTTTGTGCTCGATTGCGCAAATGACTCGTCATCATGAGGCTTCTGGTGCTTGGGCGTTTGAATGAGCTCCCACAACATGCAGCAGCCAATCCCTTAAACTTTCTTGGACGTCACTATTGTCGCATTCAAATATCATCGAACATCACTTCTTCGACCATATTTATCTTGCTGCAATGTCCTCATGCATAGCCGAACTCGCCAATGCATAAGTACGCAAGACACGTCAGAGATGATGGATGACGTGGCAATGGGCGATGGGACGTGGTTTGTTACTGAGGCCTGATTGTGCTTCATGTAGCCTCCGAAGGGGTGGGCGAAGAACAGCTGCTAGTTGCATCACACAAGTCGAAGGCTAGGGTATATGTATTCTGGAATATCATTTCGCGTTTGTAGCTCCCTGATGCAACAACTGCCCCTGTCCTTACAGTAGACGTGCTCCTTTTATTTTGTGTCATCCGCCGGTACTCCTACTTTGTTACACCTTTGAAGTTGCTGCGTGCCTGTTACTGCCTTCGACGGAGACGTCGTCGTGTAGGATCGATACCCCACCGCGTCGTGGTCACAACCTAGGGATAGAAACAATGCTCAGGATACGCCCCAGTTGCTTCCATACATACACCTCCTCTTTCACCTCGTCAGAGTAGCCTCGGAGTGGGAGTTCCATGATGACGTTTGGATAGCTTCGGTGCCTGTCTGCGTGCACTACGTGCGAGCCGTACATCCAGTCTTCCAGCTACCGGCGATCTTCCGTGCGATGACATGTGAGCTTCTGTCAACAACAGGTTTGCGCGCATGGGCATATTTAGAAGATATGTTGCATGACCTTCTTCACACTACGAAAGCACGATAGCTTTCTCCACCCAAAATCACTTTTTCTTGCATTGAAATAAAGAAGTAGCTGTCACACTTCTTTCCGAACCAAACTTTCGAATTTGCTGTCTGACGCACAGTTAACTCGAGAACGTGATTCGGTGGCGACAAAAAAAATCGCTTTTTCCACCAATCAAGTCGACGTATCCTTTATGGAGGACGGCCGCGACCGCGGAGCGCGTAGTCGCCGCCCGCCCAGGCCCTTAACTGGTGCATTTAGTGGCGAGCAAGTCGGACGTGGAGCGGAAGGTCCACCGAATGGGGCTGCTGCTGATGCGGCGACCGTGGTTCCTCCTAGTGACCCACATCCCGACGGCGAGCGGATGGACTCTGTTCAAGCCTCGGACGGCACCATTCTTGATTCGGTGAGGGATGTAGGGATGGATCCTGGTGTAGGCGATGTGTCCATGTCATCTCTACAGAGCGAGCCTCCCTTGCAGCAGGTAGGGGACGGTGGTACCGGTATCGCGCCGGACAACGAGGATGATGATACCCCAACTGCCCCAAGATCGCCGCCACGTATTTTCCAAGATGCGCGGCCAATGATGCCAAGCCCGTCCGCTTGGACGGGTAACACAGTCGATGAGTTGAGAAAAGCTGCGGGCTCTCAACCCTCGCCGTATGTTAACGATGCTAACCTTCGTCTTTACGAGTGTGCGCGAAAGCGGTGCCGTCTTCGAAAGGACGGTTTTCAGCGCAGGATGACGCCAATTGAGGTGGAAACTCTTGAGGCTTGGCTTGGAGGCCATCTACAGCTTGCTGGAGCGCCTCTATTCCTCAGGGAGACTCATGTGGCGGCCGAGCGAGAGCCTTTTGCTGTCCACCAGCGCTCTCGCCTTGTGCACAAGCTTTATGCTCGCCTTCCGGTCGGCCTTTTCCTTCCTGATCTAGGCGCGCGGGGTAAATTATTTAGCCTGATGCTTGCAGCTGCTGTGACTCCAGCGGCAAAGACTCGTGTCAACTCGCTCATCATGGAGCTTTCGCGCGTTGAGTGTTCGAGCCTGTCACCTATTGTGGCTCTCGTCTTCAACGATCGCCCTACGCGAAATTCATGGGCGAAGGCGGACCTTCGGGTGGGTAATTGTCGGATCCAACTTCTCGTAGCTGATGACCCAGCTACGGTGGACGACAAGATTGGCTATACGGACATTACGACTTCAATGCTCTATCAGGTGCATGTGCTCGGCAAGAGCTCGGCATTTCCGAGCGAGATCCGATCATGGGTCGCAGCCGCGACGTCGACACCCGTGCTCACTGTCGAGTCGCATGAGGCCGATGGTGCCCATTTCTTCGGCGCGTATCGCTGGGTCGTCACTTTTGATTCCATGGAATGCCCTAAAGAACCGGACCGGAAGCACAGGATTTTAGTGACGACCGGCGATAAGAGTATCGAGGTGGTACTCATGCACCCGCGTAAGAGTACCCGCGAGCCGTGCCAGCGGTGTCTCAGCGTTCGACATTTCCGTAAGGACTGTGCGGCTGTGGATCCCTAGAGTACATGTGCAAGCTATACTCTATCTGCAACGGCCTCGGTAACATCCCATGTGTCATTGACTCCTCACGCGGATGGATGGATCAAGGCAACTGAAATTCTACGTCAAAAGGTGGCGCCTGGGCTTGGCGACAAACTTCGCCGAGCTTCCATGGTGGAGGGGGCTCCTAAGCGGCAAAAAACAGTCATTCACAAGAGAGAAGTGGCAGCGCGAGTGGAGGCTAAGGCTGCGGTGACAGCTGAACTACTTGCTATTCGTCGTTCAAAGCTGAAAGCGGCTACGAATCATTTCGCGACGATTACGAAGGCTGCTGCTATGGATGCGGCTGCTCGTGCGGCAGCGGTTCAACAGTTTGAAGGCTCGTGTCCCGTCGCAAGGTCTGCGAGTCGTGGGGTGGCAGCTGACTCGCTGCCGACGTCGGTGCCTCAACCGGTATCGGGTCAGCACGGAACCTTAAAAGTTGTGAAGTGGCCCCTGCTGCAGTACTAGCTGCTCCTGGAGCATCTTCTGAAGGAGCGACGTCCACGGTTGTCAATGAAAATGATAGCGATGCACGCGACATGACCACTGCTGATTTACCCGCTCTTTTTGTGGTTGGCGAGCACGCTGTGTCGACGGTATTCGAGGTACCACCTTCGACAGCGGTTGATGGGCAAGATCGGACGGAGGTGGACCATTCTTCTGGTGGTCCATCACCGTCGTCGCTTGCCGCCACTATGGATATCGATGAGCTTGAGGCATCGGTGCCTCCCTCTACCGCCTCTCCGAATGTCTACAGGACACGTTGTTGCACAGATGGCCCCGACACGACTGCGAACAATTCTCACATGGCCTCCCCTCTCTCTCCTGGTTTGGAAGCAGTGCTTGCAGCGCAGGACACTGATTCAATTTTACCCATAGACAGTCAGGATCGTGTCATGGCTGGTCCGCTGCCGGCCATTCCACGTAATGAATCACCTTCACCGGATGCCGTGGAAGCGTGGAACGCGGTCGCTGCGGTTCAACGCGAGGCGGATGATCATGCCGCTACGCTTGCGTCCTCTCGTAGGCAAAAAGCACGGGTGATGCCCGCACCGAGGTTGGGCTGCCCACAACCAGTTGCATCCGGTGTAATCGTTGAAGTTGCTAAGTTACTGCAGCCGACATCACCCTGCGTGCGGCTGACGAGTGAGGAGGTTTCAGAGCGCAATCGCCAAAAAAAACAGAACGGCATCGCTATCGCGACGTGGAGGCGACGGACATCGTCGACACCAGTACTACCAGCGAATGGTGAAAAATTTTCGATCTGGATTGAACAATATTTCTCTCAGTTGGTATCACTGATCACTTCGCTACCGTACCCACTCATGGAGCTTACACATGGGGACGATCAGAGCTGTTTAAATTTGGTCAATCCATTTGCTGCAATTCTCAGCTTGCGCTGATCGACCATCATTCGATGGACCAGAACTTAGAAGTTCGTCTCCGCTCTATGTGTCAGCGGCGTGCTATCGCAATTCGCTCTCTGGGAAAAATTGCTTGCCGCTGGAAATTAACAAATTCAGAGGAGTGGTGGAGAGAAGTGGAGTGTTTCGACAGCGATTTACTTACGGGTGTCACAGCACCTGCCCTGGAAGACCCACTCAGCTCTATTCTTTCCCTGCTGAGTATTCTCTGTCCAAGTAGATTTCCAAAGCAGCCAGACTGTGGCCTGGTGCTCCCCGACACGTGTGCACGGGTGTACGAGCACGATAACGAGATCAGGAAGGTCGCTGACACCGTGATTCAGTCTGGATCGCTGGTCGATGTGCTTGGCATCTGTGAAATTGGGCGCAGCACAGCCGTGCGTCGTTCCTAAGGGCTTCTCGGTGTCAGGACGAGCGTGCTCCCAGCTTGATCGAAAAAAACGCGTGCCACGCAGACGCGGGTCAGCCCATGATCTGTCATGTGGTCTTCTTACACAAAATGTTACGGGTCTGGGAGCCAAAAACGAACGGCAAAGTCGCTGGGTTGCGCATTTTCGTTAAACTGTGCAAGATGGCATGCTGGACATCACGTGCCTTCAGGAGACTAGTGTGCCTGTGAATGGTACGGCAGCGGCGACGGAGCTGCATCTTCTATCTTGGGGCTTTGTCGTTGATGGTGAAAATCAGTTCTCGCTATGGAATCCGAGCGTGGGACGGTCCGGCGGTCTCGCTATTCTTTTACGCCCGTACAGGCGGATATCTTAACTGCAGGCATTCCAGATGGAGCACTGGACCGCTCACTGGATGGCTGCGACTGCAATTCTGGATGATCGAGAGTTTACGATTATTAATGTGTACGCGCCCGTGCTGATGTCCGAGCGGGAGAAGCTGTTTCAATCGCTCGAACACGTGGTATCCAGTGTCGATAGTCCGGTGTTTCTTTGCTGCAATCTCTATTGCACGCTTTTAGATTCTCGCGATCGGTCTTACACTTCTCGCTGGAACAGCCATGACCCTCCGGCACTGCGCCGCCTTCTGGATTGCGGCGGCTTAACTGATGTTTTGGATGACGACATCGACGACCACGATTCGGACATTGATTGGCGAGTCAAACATCACACGTATTTCTATACGATGCCGGGTGGGCGTGAGGCAAGCTGTCGACTTGACCGGTGGTACTGCTCGGCCGTCGACGGAGAATGGGTACGCGTAATCGGCACGTCTATTCCTGGTCCTTTCTCCGATCACAACGGTGTTTCAATACGTGTGGCAGTTCCTGGACGGACTGTGCAGGTGAAGTCGCGAAGGCAGTTGTACCCGCCGCCTAGGTACGCTGTGCGAGAGTACGAGTTGATGACGACGGACTTTTTTCAACGTGCATCGGGGACCCTTGAAGGCGTCATCGCAACAGCAGACACCGTTACGGAACAAGCCCGGGCAACGGCCATATGGTGGGATGCTGAAAAAGCTGGACTGCGACAGAGATACTCCGATGCGGCCAAGGATGCTCGCCGAAAATCTACGACCGGCTACCGACAGCGCCTAAAGCGGCTTACCGCCCGTCTGGCGACCGCGATCCGAGAAACCCCTGGTCCGGGTGCTGATCCGTCTCAATCGGTCATCCAAGCCCGACGTGCGGTAGTAGATTGCAAGGCCAAGTGGCAGAAGATGAAACGTCGATCGCTTTTTCGGTCCCATGCACACCATCCGGCACGGTCACAAAAAAAATTCTACCGCAGAGTGTCGACCAAGTTTGTCGATAATACGGTGTACAGCCTACGGGGTCCTACTGGCCTCGGCCATCATCGGGCACGTGATCTTGCACAGGATATGCGTGAGGGCTGGCGCGCCATCATGCAACAAACGCCTCCTGATAAAGCGATCGTCACTGATTTCCTCGACTCGCTTCCTCCGCGGGACCATGGTCCCGACCTTTCGGTTCTCAGCGACGAATTAACAGCAGCTGAGGTGCTAACATCTATTCGTCGCTGCAAAAGGGGTAAGGCGTGGGGACCGGATTCGCTTAATAACGACTGGTACCGCGACAATGAGGCCTACCTTGTACCTCTACTGACAAGGGTATTTAACGTGTGCGCACTTGGCGGCATCTTGCCGGGCACGTTCGGTCAAGCTGTAGTGGCGTGCATAAAGAAGTCGAGGAGTGCGGCATCACCACTTGACTATCGACCGATATCTCTGTTAAACTCGGACTACAAAGTCTTCACACGGATTTACGCGTCCCGCCTCAGACCGCTGCTACCAACTCTAGTAAATCCTCTCCAAACTGGTTTTGTACCTCGAAGAGAGATGGCGACGGTACTTGATATCTTCGCTGCTGCTAAATTGTGTGCATGTAATGATCCCGAATTGCACCGCTCGCTCATGTTGCTGTTGGATTTCTCAAAGGCGTATGATTCGCTTTCACGCAATTTTCTTCTCGCCGTGATGAGCCGACTCGGCTTCCCGGCATCGTTTGTTCATCTCACCTCGGCTCTTCACATGGGTACAAGAAGCCAATTCATCGTAAACGGCTACATGTCCGATCCTCTTGATGTCGGGTGTGGTATACGCCAGGGTTGCCCGCTGGCACCCTTGCTTTTTATCATTGCGGTGGAACCTCTTTACGAGATACTACATAGCACGGTGAAGGGTGTTCGGATCGCAAACACGTCGGAGACACTGGAGATCAAGGTATGCGGGTACGCGTATGATACTGCTGTGTACGTTCAGTCCCCGGAGGAAGTGTCTGTGGTCATGCGGACTCTAATGCGATTTGGGGCGGCTTCTGGGCTGGTCATTAATGCTTCGAAGTCTGTGGCGGTTCCTCTGTGTGCCGGTGTGAGCATTGACCCCACACTTTTGCACGGTTTTAAGCTGTTACAGGCGGGCGAGAGGTGCAGGTATCTTGGCGTTTTAATTGGGGATGGACGGACGGTTCGGGACAACTGAAGTGCATGCCTAGTCTCACTCAATGCTCGGCTTGTGCTAGCCAGACGAAAGACAAACACGGTCAGGAGCCGAGCTCTATTAGCCTCGGCTTTAATCATTCCCAGGGTCACGTTTCTCGCGAGACACTCGTGGCCTACCCGTGAGGTTACCGACTCGTTACAGCTTTTGGTTAAGCGTTTTGTTTGGGGATCGCGACAAGGTGTGCCATCTCGAGCGTGGATGAGTGAAGCACAGGCCGGTTTACGTGTGTGTGATGGGGGATTGCTATCCCACATGTAGCAACGAAGCTGCTTGCTATGGCGGCCAATGCGGTCGGTAAATGGGCATCTTTTTTCGAATGGGCCAGCTCGAGTCGCGGGTGACATTTTGCTGGCAAGGAGAGCTGGAGTTGATGTGTACCTTACTCCGGATAAGCCATGCACAACCCCTAAGTGTTTTACTGTCTCCGACACCATGTGGGCCAGCGGAGCAGCTGTGGTTCGTGGTGTGCATAGCGTCCCTATTGATTTGTCTAAGGCTGGATGTGTTGCAGCAACTGAGTCTCTCTTGCGTCGGCATATTTCAGCTGCCTACTGGGAGGGCGATACGTTAACATTTCGTATCGATACTGCCACGGTACAAGCCATTGCAAGTAAAGCGGTCGGCGAGCAGTGCATACGTGGAACTTTCTGCCACGAGTGGCTAGGTCGGGTGGGACTCGATACGAGGCAATGGTTGATCACTGGACGGGGATAGGACGTCAATATACCTCTCCTGCGGCGTGGAGAACAGTGGCAAACGCTTCATGATCTCCTGACTTGGATATGGCACGGAGATGGAACCATCAAGTTCGAGCTTCAGCGTTCACGGTCACCGGCAATTCGGCGTGCGGTCTCGGTCCTGTGCAAGGCGATTGTGTGCAATTATCCCACGCTTTTCCTTCAACCGCGCTCACCATCGCTCTTGAGACCGATTGATGCTAGCACGTCGTCGAATCTTTCGTGGCGCCTTTCTGAAAATGCAAAGAGCATTGTCTTCTCGAATAACACGATCGTGTATACATCAGTCCCAGTCCAGTCGCGGTATGACTGTGAACTCCGAGCCCGTGCAGACATCAATAAGCGGGACTTCCGCTTTCATGATCATCCTATATTGTCGCGACTTGTGCAGCTTCACACCTGAGCTAATTGGCGTTTTAATCGGGCGCGGTACAAGGAGGCTGTGTCCGGGCAGCGTTTGGCACAGGGGACTGTGGAGAGAGATCGGGCAATCGCTGTTCAAGCTACAAATAATAAGGACCTGCATGATGCACTATCCCAGCTGGATTGGCGTGACATTCGGGCAGTGAAGGGAGCTGGGGCTTCTACGGTCCAGACACTTTTTCGATTGAAGGCCAACAAGCTGAAATTATGGAACTATGTGCACAGTGACGGTTCTTGTCCACATGGCGAGTGTCCCCGAGACGTACCTATTAGCCTTCAACACGTCTTCTGGGAGTGCCCTATTGCGAAGGCAGCATGGAAAGACTTTGACATTCGATGGAGGCGTCTCGGCCACAACGTGCCTGCTAACCTTATTGAATCGTGCTTCAGTTTGGGCCTAGACGATACGCCGACACGTGCGTGGCGAACGGTATGTGATCATGTTCGTGCTGCAGGTACCAAGCATTGTGATGTTTTGTACGAGGTTTCCAGGGATTTGTGGAGGCTGACGGTGGCGGCGACAATTCAAGCCATCTGGTGTGCGCGACTTCGTCTCCGCCACGAGCCAGATGCGCTTCAATCGACATTGCGGGCGGCAATCTGCGTTACAGTAGACAATGCCTTGCGCGATTTGGTTTCATTGAGTTATAAATTCGACACGGATATTTCAAAACTTCCGAAGAATGCCGCTACCAGGGCGCTGGCTGATCGTCTCAAGGGGACGATTAACGGGACGATTCTCTCGCCACCGATTTGAGACCGGAGCGCCTACGTGCTTTTTTTATGGCGGCTCGCGTGGTAATCCCGGTCCAGGCGGATCCGGTTCGGTCATGGTCTGTGTTGATCTGGACACGCGAGCATCAGAGATTACCTGGGCGGCGAGCATGTCATATGCGCATAACAGCAAAACCAACAACATGGCGGAATATCGGGGGCTTATTCATGGCCTCCGTCACGCTGAAACTAGACATCTCACACCATTGTACGTGGTCGGTGACAGCTCTTTAATTATCCAGCAAATACGGCGGCATCGGCCTCCGCGTCAACCCCGACTCCGACAACTTTATTTCGAGGCGAGAAGATGTGCGGATAGCCTAGGAATCTGCGGGTGGTCTCATCACTACCGCGCTAACAACAAAATGGCAGACTTGGCTGCGAATATTGCGATGGACTCCAAAACGTCACAGCAAACGTGCGCTACTGACAATCGACCACTGATTGCAAGAGTGCAACGGTTTCTCCGCACTGACGTGCACGAGTGGCAGGCATTTCCTCCAACACATACCCCGGGTCCAAGTATTTCTGCTCTTTCGGCGGTTGCTTCCTACGGTCGGAGGGTAGCTGTATAGCCCCTGTTTTTTTTCATAGCTTGGCGGTGTAAACCCCCATCCTAGCCATTAGAGATCTTTTAAGTACCTCAATGAAGCTCACTCACTCACTCTTTCCGATCCAAATCCCACGCCTGGTACTTCGTGAGCTCGTTGCCACAGCTCAACTTATGCTGACTTCTATTGCGACACTACTGCCTACTACGCGCTGTCTTGTCCTGCATCCCGAAGCTTCGTCATAGTCCTGGAAATGCCTCCACCTTCAATAGTTGATTCTGTACAGCCCCAATGACGTCTGTGTTCGCTGTAAAGTCGGGCACAGATTCTACAGGTGGCTGTAATGATGACGGTATATCAGCTGCAATTGCTGGTGTCGGCGGCGCAGTTGTAAAGCGACCACACCAAAACATGCTGGAGACACACACGCTTCCACCGAAACGAAGTCTCGTAGGCATTGTTCTTAAACTACTTGTTATTTCATAGACGTTCCCTTTCACCAAACTGATTTTTGACCTGGCTATCATGAATGCGCTCGGTGTACTCGAAGACACTTTCATTGGAAGAATGTTACGTGTATACATTTTTACGTTCAAGAGTCTTGTTCGCTCTCCTACACACAACAGCTACTGTAGCAGGTGAGAAAGGGAATCTGAAGTTATCAACAAGACGTCCTCGAAGTTGACCATGAGCACTGGTACTAGAAACGTAGTATGTAATCGGATTGAGACGAGTTGATTGTCTTTGGTTGTATTCGTTGTCATTAAACTTACAGTTGACTGTATTTGGTGCGCTTCCTGCTCTTGTCCTACAATGCACTTGCAGCGCCTCCGAATTACACTCATTCGAAGTTCCTCAAAATGGTTCAACAACGATGCAAATAAAGTTGATCGTCAAGAACATTTTGCCACAATGCGCAGGTGAGTGTCGATGTCCCGCAGGAGTGGTCCTGGTGCAGGGCACGTCGACAATGAATCGAATCACCCTGCAAAACGAAGAAGTTCCTACCCTTCACGGTCTGCCTACAACTCGCCGACACGTTCGCTGAGCACGAGCCCGTTTCCACGAAGAGAACTCCCCCAAGACCGTGATGACTCACGTTGAGATCCAGTACCGGTTCTTCATGTACAGTAGCACCGAGCCAGATACTCGTCGTTTAGTGGTGCGTCTGGGCACATTTGAGCACGTTGTGAGCCCGAGCCGACCTGAAGAGCAAGAAGTCGACTACGAGGTGATGAACAGAAATTACGTCAAGATGGCTCACTGAAACTACCGCAGTAGCAACAGGAGTCCTAGTCAAGCTTCCTCTGTCTCCTGAATCAAATTGCCCCGAGCGCGAGAGCAGCCGCGCCATCCGGTAGAGTGCACACGAGAATCCAACCCTGGACTTGGTCAACGGACGGTTTCCACGGGCACTTTCGGGAGTGCCCCGCCGTGACGCCCGACGACTTGAGCCAGCAGAATGAGAAAGCTAGGAGTCGTAAGACTGTGTCACGGTCGGTGACACGAGATGGTTACCACACAACCAGACATCATATCAGTGAAAAGTAGCTATAACAACGGACAGTCTGAGCCTCTCTCACTTTAAGATTGAGGAAGAAAAAAAACTCGAAGGTGACAACCCCCTCTGTTGGACTGAGCAGTATCCACCAACAGGTGTAAACATGCTGGAACTGTACCAACCGTAGCGGTGCGTCCCAGCCAACTACTGTCCCGGTGCTGTGTCCTAGCATCATACTGAGCCACATTAGAATCGTGGAAACGACATCTCAAACGAGGAAACGACATCTTGAATGAGGAAACGACATCTTGAATGAGGAACACGACACTCTGAATGAGGAACGCGGCATCTTGTACTTCGTCACGCTCCCACTTTGTTGTTTCTGATGTCCGATGTCTTGTACTAAGTCACACATTTTTGTAATTTTTCGTGGGCAGACTTCCAACGGCTATGCGATGGCACAGGTCATTGGTGATACGCAAGAAATACGACCGCATCAGGCCGTGCACACTGGAGAACTTGCGAATGAGCAAATTGTTCCAACAACATACGTTTGTCACGTCCCGTTGGCTGAGGGAGCAGACAAGCACCACACGGACCACAAACTCGGGCGCTGGGCTATAGCAATTCTGTTGGGGAGTCTTCCGTTGGCTATAGGACGGACATTCGAGGTTCTCCCCATTGTGACTTTACGACACCCCCGGACTTCCGGCTATATTATGACTAGGTGCTGGTAGATCCCGGAACTGTCCGAGGGGTAGCAGTTACAGAGCCGTATTTTTCATCTCGAGGAATCATGCTGAAGCAAGAGGCCAACGGGATTAATTGGATAGTCGATGACTCACATCTAATACGTCCGGAGTCTGGAGACGACGTGGCCGTCATCAGGAGCTCGCAATGGGCTCTTGATTTTGTCGTTGAGGCACATACATCGATTTACAGCTTTCGGTGGGATGCCCCACCAAACGTATCGAATCGGCACGTACTGATGTACATTAAACGCCAGCCGTGTAGCAAGGCGAAGGTGGGGCTCGGCACGGCTTTAGAAGGTCTACTCTAGAAGTTACAAACCTGCACAGACCAGGGAGACTGGGAGACCGCGGCTCTTCATCAAACCCCGAAGCAGCTGTGGGGCCATCAAAATGCAATCACGGAGTATCAAGTGTGGGTCTCTTATCGTTTGATACTCCAACAGCTTATTTTCTTCTCCCTAAACAGAAGAGAAGTTGACAACAGTTGCAGAAGGCTGTCCGTCTGTGACGGTCACAAGGAGACACTGGAGCCCATTTTCTGGACATGTCTGGTGGCCCAGGGATGCTGGCAAGCGGTACTGACCTCGTGGTTTAAATTTAACGTGCGGCTGGATGACCTGAGCCATTATGCGGGGAAGTGCATGGCAAGAACACTGTCGCCTCTGTCTACGACACTATTATAACGGCTGCAGCAGGCCTTTGGTGATATTGTGGCGGAGTACATTGATCAGTGGAAGCGCATATGGTGGATCCTGTGTTCCGTATATATCTCGACTCTTTGGATCCAGCGCAATCGAGTTATTCACGAGCGGCAACAATTTTTACTCCCGGAAAGTGTCCAAAAGTTTTTTTTAACAAAATCGGCAATTACGAGCGGTATTGGCAAGAAGGCGCAGAACGCTACATTCAAAGGCGCGAGGCATTCGGCTATGGCAGTGTATTGAGTTGCTAAATGACACCACTGCGCCTTCCAGAGAATCACATCATGTGAGGAGCCACATACAACCACCGCACAATTCGACACCGGCGTTGCTAATCGGGCTTAAGACATTTCAGAAGCCTTGTTCACGTGAACACCGTGTGGTAGATTGTCGTTTATCTCTCTCTCACATTGTTTTGATTCTAGTACACTTTCCAATCTGCGCCTTCGGGCAACACCGGCCAAGCAACAAGGACCTCCAAAGAGGTGGACAATCGGCCCCCTTACCCTGGGCGATGAGCTTCCTCTAGTGGGGCTTAGTTTAAAGGGGGGGGCCTCTTGACGATACGTGCGCAACGGGAGGCAGCGCAGCGTGCAAACTGGAAGGAAGGCAACAAGCAGGGCACCCCGAGATGTAAGGCACGTCGGAACGATCGCCTTGCACCATGTACAAGTTCCTGCTCTTCTACATCCGCCATCAAGCCACTGACCCGTTCGCCGAGCGCGAACTCCGGCCCTACGAAGCGAACTTGCTAAGAACGAGATGCTGTCCGGTGGACCCGGCTCCGGCGGTACATGCTAGGGACAAGTCAAGATGTACCCTCGGGACTGTTCGAAGTGGTGTGAGACCTCCCTTGCAGGCGTCCTCTGAACCGTACATGCACCCCCAGCTTGGTTCCCGGTAACACGTGCCCTTCTCAGAGTGTACCCCTCGTGACGCCCGATCTATCGAGCCCGCAGAGTGAGACAGAGAGGAGACGAACGATGTAGTCAACACGATGATGAGCAAAACCACCAGACATCAAAGACTAATCAAAAGTACTACGAATAACCGTCTGTGTAACGGGGTGAATCGTTACATAACAATTTATAAGAAATTGTTAATAGAATATAACTATAAGAGTTATATTCTCAGAATATTGTCATAAGGACAATATTCGGTAGCACTTCCAAGTAGTTCCTAATTGGTTGATATAGGCCATTATATCAACCAACGAAGACGCGCCACGACAGACGCACGCAATGAGTGGTGAGCAGATAACTGATTTACACATTTGTATTTAGACATAGTTAGATGAAGATAAATAGTGATTTATTGCAGACATTAACTATTATAAATACAGTTCTACTTTTTACTCTAACCAAGTACTCGCTTCTTCTTACCGTCTTTATCTGCACGTACGAGTGTACGTGAAGTTACGAGGCACCGCCTTATTCTGTTATCAGAATAAGTAGCTTGTACTGTCACCAGTACAAGCTTCAGGGTGCCCCGTTACACCTGGTAGCACTTCGTAGTCCGTCCAAGGACCGCGTTCACATCCAACATGAATATGTTGGATGATGAAGATGACCAAAGCTTTCACGCTACGCGTGACGGCTACTCCCATTTGAGCGATGTCGAATGGGATGCGGTTGAACGAATGGGTTCGACCATGGGCATCCATGCTGTTAGCGTTATGCTAGAGGCTCTCAATAGAGATGCCCAACATGCTACTATCGCCAAGTTCATTCAAAATGAACTTGACGCAGAACGCGAGAAAGTAGCCTTGCTTCACCAACAAGGTTCTCAACAAGCAGAGTTGTTGAGAGAACAAGGTGCTCAACAGTTTGAACTGTTGAGACAGCAGCAAGCTGCTGCTGGCGGGTCGATGCACTCGCGTCGACCCGAGACTTTGAAGATTGACATCTCAAAGTATAGGGGGGTCGAAGAAGACTCCCTCTTGAGATGGTTCGTCGAATTGGATGACGCCATAAGGGCGCGTCGCATCGACGACGGGGATATGCAAGTTGCGTTTGCCCAGTCAAATCTGGCAGGACATGCCAAGACTTGGGCACTGGGACTCATGTTGCACGACCCATATGCGTTTGGGTCGTTGGAAGTCTTCAAGTCGCGGCTCAGACAAACGTTTGAACCGCCTAGAGCTGAGTTCAGAGCTCGAACCGAACTCTTGAAGCTCAAGCAGGGTAAGCGTGATGTGCACGCTTACGCTCAACATATACGACATCTCACGAGTTGTATAAGTTCCAATCCGGTTGATGAACACACGTTGGTTTCGGTGTTCACGAAGGGTCTTGCGGATGGTCCCGTCAAGACTCACCTGTTCCGACTTGAACTAGATTCACTATAACAAGCCATATCCATTGCGGAACAGGAAGACTTCAGTCTGAGACAGGCTCGCGCCAGCTCGACATCATATCGTCAACCGAGACGATATGACAACGGAGGTCCAGAGCCGATGGAACTCTGTTATGTAGAGAGCGAGAAGGCTCGCTCTACAGACTACAAGAAGTTGCAGAAATGCAACATGTGTCAGATGACAGGACACTACGCTTACGAGTGTACTGCCCCTCGTCCAGTGTCTCGCAACACTGGGCGTAGTGACCGTCCACCCATAATAAAGGGGCAGGGACGCGGGTCCGCTGTTGGTGCAAAGACGCAACAACGGGATGGACCGTCAAAAAACGGACAGGATCAGTAGGTGCGGAGCACCCTACTGGTCCAGCAACGTCAAGATAATTTGTGGGCCTCTTGATGAAGGTTGCTCCCAACACACAAACATTGTGCGTTGCTGCTCTAGTTAATGAGATCTCACTCATTAACTTGAAACTCGAAGTGACGAATAAGTTGTCCCTTCGAGCTCTAGTCGATTGTGGGGCGTCTAACAATTTTGTGCGACACCGATCGCTAGAAGATGATCATATAAAGTTTGTTGAATGTGACACACCTCCTACGAGGATGACGGTACGTCTTGCGACAGGCGCATTCGTAATTGTCATGAAGCGTATAGTGAAGATCCACTACACGCTAGAAGATACCCAATTTGACGATGACTTTATCGTATTGGATTTGGATGACAAATTTGATGTTATCCTTGGAATACCGTGGCTCAGAAGGTACGAACCACGGGTAAACTGGCAACATCGAACAGTAACGATGCCTGCCGCTTGTTCATCAGATGGCCATCTAATGAACGTTTTGGAGCGTCCACAAGCGTGTGGATGTACTACGAGTGAGTGCGATGGCCTCACTTGTGGTACGGTCGTTAGTGCGACTGCACAAAACCTTAGTGTAACAAATGGTTACACTTCGGAGCAAAGTTCCGGTGGCTGTGAGGAAACACAGGCTGAGCCGAAGGTCCACCACTCGAATAAGTCGGGTGGACTGGGACAAAGATGTATCCCTAGAGGGGAACATCCAGAAGAGAAACAATCGATCGCTCAGGTTAAGCGAAACGATAATCCTAGATCGACTGGAGAGTCTTTCGTAGAGGATCTCGCTGTGGTTGCGCAACCTCAGCTAGAGGAAGTAAGGGAATAAGTCCCAAGATTACAAATACGGCGGAAATAAGTTCCCCGAAACCCGCGGGAATAAGTCCCCGGGAAGACGAAGGAATAAGTCCTTCGAAGCCTGAGGGAATAAGTCCCCAGGAAATGACAGAGACATTGAATGTCATAGTCAATAACGGATCATGTGTAGGCGCTTATACACTTGATCTGATTGCGCCTCCGAAGTTAACTTCGGAGATCACTCAGTTGCCAACGCTCGAACATAAAAGGTTCTTGCGTGATCTGCGTAGTGGCAAAGTCAAGCAGATCTGCATACTCGTCGCTGACGACGAGTATGTAACCGACATAAGGTCAGCAACAGTGTTTACTGAGAACGAGAGAGTTCTCAGTAGTTCATCTATGGACGAGAGTGTCCTAGATGAAAAGACACGAATTGAGCGATATGAGTCCCAATCATGGGAATCGCTCAAGGAAAATCCTCTCTATGAAGATTTGGTTGAATTCAAGGATGTATTCCCTGAAACTGTTCCGTGCGAATTACCGAAGGATAAAGGTATTCGACACGAAGTCGAGCTTAAACCAGGCTCGAAGTACTGTGTCATGAAGCAGTGGCCACTGCCTCGTGAACAAGTACTTGCGATCGACAAGTTCTTTGCCGATCGTTTAGCAGCGGGCCATGTGAGGGAATCAACTTCCCCACATAGCTCTCCGACCTTCTGTGTGCGAAAAGCAACAGGAGGGTGGCGGATAGTGCACGCGTTTAACAAATTGAACGCTGCAACGGTACCGGCTCAGACGCCGATACCGAGGAAGGACGTAATCATTGATGGTATGTCAAAGAGTACCATCTTTTCGTCCATGGATTTGATGGATGGCTTCTATCAAATCCTAATGCGGGAACGGGATATACCCTATACCGCAGTTAGCACGCCTAGCGGCATGCTCTGGGAATGGCTAGTAATGCCACAAGGGCTCAGTAATGCCCCTGCCACGTTCAACAGATGTGTATCACATCTGTTGAGACCAGTACGAGAGTTCGCGCCGAGTTATTTCGATGACGTATTCATCCATAGTCGAGCTATGGATGGAAAGTCGGACGTTGAGGTTCACAGGTACCACGTCCGACAAGTTCTTACAATCATGCGAAAGCATCAATTGTATGCTAACCTCAAGAAGTGTATATTTGCAGCAAGCGAAATACCACTTCTTGGGTGCATCGTTGGTAAGAACGGTGTACGTCCTGATCCCGAAAAGATCAAGGCGATCACCGACTGGCCTGTGCCGGTCGATGTCAAAGGTCTTCGAAAATTCCTTGGGCTAGCGGCGTATTTGCATAAGTATTCACGCAATTACGCCGAGATGACTGTACACCTCTCTCGTTTGTTGAAAAAGAACGAGAGGTGGTTATGGAACGCTGAATGTCAACGCTCCTTTGAGGGTATCAAGCAGAGCTTGATACAATCCCCAGTCCTAGCAATAGCCGATCAGGACAGGCCATTTCATGTGGTCTGTGATGCCAGCGATTTCGCAATCGGCTGTGCATTAATGCAGTACGACCTTGAAGGCGTTGAACGCGTCGTCTGCTATCAGTCGCGTCAGCTGCAACCAGCTGAGCGGAACTATCCAGTGCATGACAAGGAACTCCTTGCCATGAAGTATGCACTCGCGAAGTTCAGAGTCTATCTATTAGGAGATAGACCCTTCGTTGTTTACACTGACCATGCGTCCTTACGCACGGCAGTGAACAGCCCGCACCTTTCACAACGAATGGCGCGGTGGTTGTCATTCTTTGCAGAATACAACTTTACGGTCGAGTACAAACCAGGACGACTTAATGTCGTCGCTGATGCACTCTCACGTCGTCCCGACTTTGAAACAGTCGCGAAACCCAACAGTGAGACAGTCACTGTTGCGGTTATGACGTCCTCAGTCCCATCTACAATGTTGTATGATGATGTGAGGCGGGCTTACGCCCAAGATGGTGAGATAGTGAAGTTGTTGTCACATCTCTCCCAACCATCCCGAGAATCGTTGAAACGATTGTCGTCTGCGTATCGATCTGCATCAGATCGATACACTACTCGTAACGGTTTACTGTATTATACAGCCGTTTCTGGTGACACACCACGTGTTGTCATTCCAGATGATACTGATCTGCGTTTGCGGATCATGTTCGAGTATCACGATGCTCCTATAGGAGGACATCGTGGCCGAGAGAAAACATATCTCACGGTAAGTCGAGACTTTTACTGGCCCCGCCAGTATCAGTTTGTGCGAAAGTATGTTCGCGCATGCGAAGTCTGCCAACGAGTGAAGTCAAGTCCTTCACTGCGTGCACCTTTACAGCCTCTACCGGTTCCGGCTGAGTGCTGGGAATCCATCTCAATGGATTTCGTCTTCGGGTTACCCAAAGACGCACGCGGGAATACGGGTATTCTCGTATTTGTTGACAGATTCAGCAAAATGGTACACCTTGTGGCTGTACCAGAGACAATCACGGCAAGTGGCTGTGCTTGTGTCTTTATTGACACCATCTTCCGACTTCATGGGTTGCCCCGTGAACTCGTATCAGACAGAGATCCACGATTCACTGCTGATTTCTGGCGTTCCGTGTTCAAATCACTCGGAACGCGCTTGAAGATGTCAACATCTGATCATCCAGAGTCGGATGGTCAGACGGAACGTGCCAATCGTGTCCTTGAAGAGATACTTCGAGGATACGTACACTCCTTTAAGAGTTGGAGTGAGTTTTTGCCAATGGTAGAGTTTGCCATCAACAACTCGGTGCATGCGTCCACGACACATACACCGTTTTACGTGAATGGCTTACGCCATCCGCGTGTACCCACCTTACTAGAGTGTAACTCTGGTTTAAGGGGGGGAGGGACTCGCGCGAGCAAAAACCGATTTGGTTCACGCTCATCACGCTCTGACGAAGAAGTCATTGCGTTTGATGCCGATATCGATAACATCGATATCGAAGAAGATGATGCCAGTGAGAGTGCGGAAGCCCTCACTGAAGACAATGATCCCAGTGAGAGTGCGGAAGCCCTCACTGAAGAAAAGGTTGTTGTTGCTGCAGTGCGCTCACAGCACACTGAAGCTAACGAGTCATCAGATGAGTTCATACTGGCTCGTGAAACGGTAGTCCGTTTTGTGCAAGACTCCATCGCCGAAGCGGTGGATAAGCAAAAAGCAAAACGCTGACAAGAATGGAAGGGCAAACACTCTTTTATTTAATAAAGGTGACTTAGTCCTACTGTCTACGGTTAATCTACCAAAGCATGTAGTGACTAACTTGGGTAGCAGTAAACTACTACCCAAGTACATTGGCCCATTTCGTGTATTGCACCGCCTAGGCAATGCATACACGATCGAGTTACCACGTAAGATGCGAACGCATCCCACGTTTTACGTTGGTCGGCTTAAGCCGTACCATCAGTACGCTGCTTCTTCCGATGAAGAACGCCCTTGCGCTCAAGCATCTCGCAGAGAGCCTTGTGCTCCCGATGGTGGGCATCAACAAGGGTCTGAAGAGCAGTTATCTCAGCCCGAGACCGATCAACAATCCCACGAGCTACCCTTAGCTCGTCACGAAGAGATGTCAGAGATCTCTCGTTCTCAAGCTGAGCAAAGGCAAACTCAGCTCGATGCTTCGAGGCAGTGTCCACCATCTGGAGACGCCTATTCCGCTCATGCTCGAGATCGTCGCGTAACCCTTGCGTTACGCGATCAAAGAAGCTCTCGGGAACACACCGATCCACATGATCGTGTGGAGAGCGTCTTTCCTCCTCCTCCACCTCCATTAGAGGACTCTCGCGGTGGCCAGCGCTATCTAGTAGAGCAGCTGTTGAACCACCGCGACGTGAACGGACGTCGGACGAGTTACCTCGTCCGGTGGCGCGGCTATCCCCCGTCCTGGGATTCTTGGGAGCCCCGCTCCCAATTGATGGTTGACGTACTGGGTCTGGTCGAGCAGTACGACGCGACACATCCTGTGCCGCAGAAGGACCGCCGGAGAAAGTCTTCCCGGCACGGTCGTAAAGAGATTTCAGGTTGTCAATCCCTTCGTACATCTCAGTAGAGACACGTACGCGCCACCACGGGCTGGTAAGGAGGTAAGCCTCCTTAGGTGCTCGTGCAGAGTTGTTCACACAACATGGGCACGAGTCTCCCCCAAGAGAGGCAGGGTAATCCTTTCTCCCTTGACAGACGATGCAGCTTGTAGCGTGCACCTGTCGGGGTTCGCTTTTCAAACTTATCACGAGCTTTGATAAGTTTGTCGTTCCAAGCGTCACGACCTACATCCTCGAGATTATGGATGTAGGCGTTCCACGCCTGAAGTAGTGAGGGACCATCACGTTTGTGATTCCCACTGTACCATCGATGTCTGAAGAAAGCATCGATGAAGAACTCATGTTCAGCGCGATAGTCTTTCGCGCTGGGGTCAAGGTGATGGATCCTTGACGAATCGAACAATCGTGTTCGATAACGATCACTCGTCGTCGCCGACAAGTGATCCATGACGGATTTAGGAGGCATCCATGCCTTCTTTTCTGGAGCGAGACGCAACACATTGCGGTCCCGCTCTTCCTGCGACGTGCCGACAGAAGTACTGGCACCTCGCTGTGAAGTGGTGTCCGTTGGAGAACCGACACCACTATTAGCGCCCGAGTCTCGCGACCTCGAGCGCCTTCGCTTCGGCGATGGTTCATCTGACTCATCAGATGAACCAAAGATGCTGCGACGCAAAGCATCGTCCATGCCACGCTTGGCAGGCGGCTTGGATTCAATTGCCGTCGATACGGATCCGTCATCCGTATCAGGAGAGTACGAGACACCGAGCTCGTACTCTGTGAAGACACGAGTGTCTTCATGACCAGCGCCTGCATCACCAGGTGATACAGGCTGAGTCGATTCAGCAACCGATGGGACATCAGTTGCTGTAGTTTCTGCTTCGGCGTCCGCACAGAGACGTGCAGACGCGCTCTCGGCGGCCTTGCTCGCGCATCGCATGGGCTTGTTTACCATGCGATGAGATGTTGGAAAGTGGACGCGGACCAACAAGTGCAAACCCCGTCCCAAATGATTTGGGACGAGTATCCATTTAGTCAATCAGTCACTAAAGTGACTGATGGTTAAGGGGGTGATGTAACGGGGTGAATCGTTACATAACAATTTATAAGAAATTGTTAATAGAATATAACTATAAGAGTTATATTCTCAGAATATTGTCATAAGGACAAATATTCTGTAGCACTTCCAAGTAGTTCCTAATTGGTTGATATAGGCCATTATATCAACCAACGAAGACGCGCCACGACAGACGCACGCAATGAGTGGTGAGCAGATAACTGATTTACACATTTGTATTTAGACATAGTTAGATGAAGATAAATAGTGATTTATTGCAGACATCAACTATTATAAATACAGTTCTACTTTTTACTCTAACCAAGTACTCGCTTCTTCTTACCGTCTTCCTCTGCACGTACGAGTGTACGTGAAGTTACGAGGCACCGCCTTATTCTGTTATCAGAATAAGTAGCTTGTACTGTCACCAGTAAAAGCTTCAGGGTGCCCCGTTACAGTGTCACGGTCGGTGACACGAGGTGGTTACCACACAACCAGACATGGGAAAGCTAGGAGTCGTAAGACTGTATCATGGTCGATGACTCGAGATGGCTACCACACAACCAGTCACCATATTAGTGAAAAGTAGCTATAACAACGGACAGTCTGAGCCTCTCTCACTTTAAGATTGAGGAAGGAAAAAAAACTCGAAGGTGACAACCCCCTCTGTTGGACTGAGCAGTATACACCAACAGGTGTAAACATGCTGGAACTGTACCAACCGTAGCGGTGCGTCCCAGCCAACTACTGTCCCGGTGCTGTGTCCTAGCATCACACTGAGCCACTATACAATCAAGAAAACGGCATCTCGCATGAGGAACACGACATCTCGCATGAGGAACACGACATCTCGCATGAGGAACACGACATCTCGCATGAGGAACACGACATCTTGGATGAGGAACACGACATCTTGAATGAGGAACACGACATCTCGCATGAGGAACACGATATCTTGTACTCCGTTGCACTCTCACTTTGTTGTCTCTGATGTCCGATGTCTTGTACTACGTCACACATTGTTCGAAGTCAAGTACATCGGTTTTGATCAGCATTTGCTAGACGACTTCTACCGTCCCGGTCGTTGTTAACTTAATCATCTAGCAGATGGACAGTCTGGTATGACGAAACAGCCCCTCCTTTGTCGGCTCTCTTCCCCCCTACGTCAGATGCTAACACACCCCTTACAATACGAATCACCGCAACAATGTCTTCTGTTCCAACCCCCCACCTGACACGCTATACTCACGAATGCCAAAAAAGACGACCAACGACCCCTTCCGTATGGTACACACCAGGTGGCGGCTGTTCATAGTTCGTTGCGTCATTGCTTCGTTGATGCTACATTCGACGTCCACAACGGCTACCATGAAGGGCACCCTCTCGAAGACGATCATACGCTGATGAAGTAATTCCTCACTTTTATGCGCGGAGAAATCACAAACTTCTGCTTGTTACTTCAGACGAAGCCCTTGTTGCTAGTTGGTGCTCGAGTTTCCACGGATACCAGCTGGACTTTTCGAGAGGTTCTAAAGAGTTGTGAACTCGTGGTCTACCGACCATTAGACTTGGTGGTGATGCTGAGGTACTATGCGTGCACCTTATATTGCATTTCTATTCGTTATTGACGTCAACGACGACGCTCGAAACATTCCTCAAAGTTACCCCTTCACGGTAGTTAGTGCCAACAGCTCGTTCCAGATGTGCCAGATCATACGTGGCATCTTTGTATGAGGTCGTCAGGACGCGGTGGGATGCGGTGAGAACTGCAAATTTTTACAGAATGAGAAAAGCTTCACTGTGACCCGTCCGAGCGTTTTATGTATGGGTAACAAAAATTGTGTCGATCAAGCTTTCGTGAATCGAGACTAGGCAAGGGTGAAGCGCACTTGATGCAGCAACTCGAAGCAGCTGTAAAATTGGCATTGCAGTTGTAACTGAATGTTATAGAGCAGTATGAAGCCACGAAAATATAGATAACAGATGGCCGTCCATACCCACGCTCGCAGACTTATTGAAGTACCTCTCGTCCACAACTTAGAAGCTCGTTTTTACACAACGCTGGAAGTATGGTCGTGCGATTGTATTTTCCGTATTGCTTTTTGGATGCATGAACGACCCATCATATACCTGGATCTCTGGCGATCTTGAACCTCGAGCAGTGCCGGATGAGAGCGCCCTACAGATGGCATAGTCAGCAGGTCGCAACCCTCTCAAACGTAAAATTTTACAGCAGGCTGAAACTGAATACATGGATGGTCAACTCTGTGTTCGGCTAGGTGGATCGTCTCCTAACATTTGGCCTTTCTTATGCGCTCAACGGCCTAGACCTCCGTTTTTTTCGTCTTGACTCTCATTCTGACATTCGCCAAGCCAGGCGAACTACCCCACAGCATCGTACGCAGCTATCGTCCGCAATCACGAACATCAGGATCTGCGCATTCGTCATCCTCGCCGCGGCCGTCTCGATCGTCTCTACCCATGCCCAGTACTGTGTTAATACGCCAGCTTGCAAACTTTATCCTGCGAAAAGAGAATCTGCAGCAAGAGAGTGTATGAACCAAGATTCCGAAACCAATTTCAGCGCGCGTAAGTGTTGCACCGCGCACTGCTCACCGAACAAGCGTTTTCGCCAATAGTTACGCGCAGGCCAGCCATAGGTCAAAGCGTCACTCGGAGTGTTCGCTTTTGTTTTGTTTGATGCAGCCATTGGATTCCCGACTCGCACCGCTACTGTGCTAGTCTACCAACCAACTTTTGTCTGCACGGTCTTTGATGTAGTAGTTTGAATACAAAGCAGTTTTACTTGCCACAAACATGTGCTCTTCCATTGTGCATTGTCGTTTGAGCATCCATCACAATGTAATAATCGATTCTACTTTACGCCGACCTGATCAAAAAGTCGAGTGACGGCCACGCGTATACGACGTCACGTTACTTACTCTCAACAGATGTGGTTTAGTCCTCTAAGAATGGGATTGAAAATGACATCGCCGTATTAAGACAGGAAAAAAAGCTCCGTACTTTTCAGTCGACAAACTTACTAAACAGAACTTACGTCACCCTTCTCTGTCGGTGTCAGAGGGGCCTCCCTTGATAAGATAGGGGAGCAAGCTCTTGGGCTTGCCCTTTGGTATGTGTAATTCAGTACAAAGAACTGAAAGATAGGGGAGCAAGCTCTGGAGCTCGTTCTTTGATAAGTAATCCAGTTCATCGAACTGAACTAGTTGCAAAACACCGTACAACAAAAGACGCTGAAGAAAGATTAAAATGTTGTCAATTTATGTATCAATCTCGTACAGCATACTAGAGCAACGCGGATAAGCCTTTGCTTATGAGCGTCCAGCATTTACTTGTGTGACCATAATCACTATTGACCGATTATAAGCCATTAACAAGCGTGTGACACAATATTGACCAAGCCAAAGAGTGACTCTGGATATGCCTATATACCTACGAGGGGGGGGGGCAGGCTAGGTCGCACTTGGTTCGCGCGGGGTACACCTAGCCGCGTTATTTACAGACACTCACACAGACACAGACGCACAGACACAGATAAGTACGAATAAAAAGTTCGGCATTCACCTGGCGCACAGTCACTAATATTTTCACTCTTAGAGCTCGCAAATTGTTTTTGGGTATCGATAGAAAGCTCGCATGACAAACTGAAATTGTTTGAATGACCAATCTGATCAACAATCTTCTTCGGATGTATGGATGGATAGGGGGCGCTGAGCAAAAATATCGCTTTCTCTCCCTCCCTTCAACCTCCTACCCCATCAGCATTTCACTTTACGTGTCGATCAAGTGCTTGCTTTTAGCCAACACAAAATGGAATGCGTCTCAAAATACTGTGCATGATCCATATTACTGTGACACGATCCGTGGCCTGACTCATAAGGGATTGGGTAAGTGCACAATACGCACGAGCAAGTGCACTTTATGTAACACTTGCTTACATAACGATAGTTTTGCTAAGGGAAGCGCCACGGAGCTCTCACTTTTGCGAATAGACACTCGACCCCCTTTACAATTTAGGCTTCGATGCTTTTGATTGCATACATACGGCACAAAACAAGTTTCTTACAAATTCGACACATGATAACGACTCCAAAACGATGGAAAAGGATCTAGATTCGAAGTAGACGGGGAACAGAAGACAGGAGAGACGCTGTTTGAGATGTCGTCGACCAGAAGTCTAGTGAATTTGCGCGGCTGGTGGCGTATATGGTGCCAACAGTGCGTAGCGTGCGGTATGCGGCGTATTTACCGCATCGACTTACGCACAACTTGTTCGAATTACTTTGTCCACGAGGACCTCTGTATATGCACGCAGCACCTTCATTCTTGCAGACTACAGAGTATCGCACCTTGTTGCAGGCATCATCGAGTGAGTTGAAATGCCAGCTTCGCCCACACGGTCAATGGCATTGGCGTCCAGACGAGTAGCACAACGTCCCACATTGAACGCCTGGAGGCGAATGCCATCGGAACAGCATAGACGAAGTGACAATGTCGATGAGAACTCCTTCTCACGGCTGTGGTTTTTCAGCGGCAGCGGATTACATGGTTTGTAAATCGACCCTGTAACGGGGTGAATCGTTGCATAACAATTTATAAGAAATTGTTAATAAAGTGTAACTATTAGAGTTAAATTCTTAGAATACTGTCATAAAAATGATTATTCAGCAGCACTTACGAGTAGTTCCTAATTGGTTGATATAGGCCATTATATCAACCAACGAAGACGCGCCACGACTGACGCACGCAATGAGTGATGAGCAGATAGTTGATCTACACATTTGTATTCAGACATAGTTAGATGAGGATAAATAGTGATTTATTGCAGGCATTAACTATACTAAATACAGTTCTACTTTTTACTCTAACCAAGTACTCGCTTCTTCTTACCGTCTTTATCTGCACGTACGAGTGTACGTGAAGTTACGAGGCACCGCCTTATTCTGTCATCAGAATAAGTAGCTTGTACTGTCACCAGTACAAGCTTCAGGGTGCCCCGTTACACCTGGTAGCACTTCGTAGTCCGTCCAAGGACCACGTTCACATCTAAACTAAATATATTGGATGATGAAGATGACCAAAGCTTTCACGCTACGCGTGACGGCTACTCCCATTAGAGCGATATCGAAAAGGATGCGGTTGAACGGATGGGTTCAACCATGGGCATCCATGCTGTTAGCGTCATGCTAGAGGCTCTCAATAGAGATGCCCAAAATGCTACTATCGCCAAGTTCATTCCAAATGAACTTGACGCAGAACGCGAGAAAGTAGCCTTGCTTCACCAACAAGGTTCTCAACAAGAAGAGTTGTTGAGAGAACAACGTGTTCAACAGTTTGCACTGTTGAGACAGCAGCAGGCTGCTGCTGGTGGGTCGATGCACTCGCGTCGACCCGAGACTTTGAAGATTGACATCTCTTAGTATAGGGGAGTCGAAGAAGACTCCTTCTTGAAATGGTTCGTCGAATTGGATGACGCCATAAGGGCGCGTCGCATCGACGACGGGGATATGCAAGTTGCGTTTGCCCAGTCAAATCTGGCAGGACATGCCAAGACTTGGGCACTGGGACTCATGTTGCACGACCCATATGCGTTTGGGTCGTTGGAAGTCTTCAAGTCGCGGCTCAGACAAACGTTTGAACCGCCTAGAGCTGAGTTCAGAGCTCGAACCGAACTCTTGAAGCTCAAGCAGGGTAAGCGTGATGTGCACGCTTACGCTCAACATATACGACATCTCACGAGTTGTATAAGTTCCAATCCGGTTGATGAACACACGTTGGTTTCGGTGTTCACGAAGGGTCTTGCGGATGGTCCCGTCAAGACTCACCTGTTCCGACTTGAACTAGATTCACTATAACAAGCCATATCCATTGCGGAACAGGAAGACTTCAGTCTGAGACAGGCTCGCGCCAGCTCGACATCATATCGTCAACCGAGACGATATGACAACGGAGGTCCAGAGCCGATGGAACTCTGTTATGTAGAGAGCGAGAAGGCTCGCTCTACAGACTACAAGAAGTTGCAGAAATGCAACATGTGTCAGATGACAGGACACTACGCTTACGAGTGTACTGCCCCTCGTCCAGTGTCTCGCAACACTGGGCGTAGTGACCGTCCACCCATAATAAAGGGGCAGGGACGCGGGTCCGCTGTTGGTGCAAAGACGCAACAACGGGATGGACCGTCAAAAAAACGGACAGGATCAGTAGGTGCGGAGCACCCTACTGGTCCAGCAACGTCAAGATAATTTGTGGGCCTCTTGATGAAGGTTGCTCCCAACACACAAACATTGTGCGTTGCTGCTCTAGTTAATGAGATCTCACTCATTAACTTGAAACTCGAAGTGACGAATAAGTTGTCCCTTCGAGCTCTAGTCGATTGTGGGGCGTCTAACAATTTTGTGCGACACCGATCGCTAGAAGATGATCATATAAAGTTTGTTGAATGTGACACACCTCCTACGAGGATGACGGTACGTCTTGCGACAGGCGCATTCGTAATTGTCATGAAGCGTATAGTGAAGATCCACTACACGCTAGAAGATACCCAATTTGACGATGACTTTATCGTATTGGATTTGGATGACAAATTTGATGTTATCCTGGAATACCGTGGCTCAGAAGGTACGAACCACGGGTAAACTGGCAACATCGAACAGTAACGATGCCTGCCGCTTGTTCATCAGATGGCCATCTAATGAACGTTTTGGAGCGTCCACAAGCGTGTGGATGTACTACGAGTGAGTGCGATGGCCTCACTTGTGGTACGGTCGTTAGTGCGACTGCACAAAACCTTAGTGTAACAAATGGTTACACTTCGGAGCAAAGTTCCGGTGGCTGTGAGGAAACACAGGCTGAGCCGAAGGTCCACCACTCGAATAAGTCGGGTGGACTGGGACAAAGATGTATCCCTAGAGGGGAACATCCAGAAGAGAAACAATCGATCGCTCAGGTTAAGCGAAACGATAATCCTAGATCGACTGGAGAGTCTTTCGTAGAGGATCTCGCTGTGGTTGCGCAACCTCAGCTAGAGGAAGTAAGGGAATAAGTCCCAAGATTACAAATACGGCGGAAATAAGTTCCCCGAAACCCGCGGGAATAAGTCCCCGGGAAGACGAAGGAATAAGTCCTTCGAAGCCTGAGGGAATAAGTCCCCAGGAAATGACAGAGACATTGAATGTCATAGTCAATAACGGATCATGTGTAGGCGCTTATACACTTGATCTGATTGCGCCTCCGAAGTTAACTTCGGAGATCACTCAGTTGCCAACGCTCGAACATAAAAGGTTCTTGCGTGATCTGCGTAGTGGCAAAGTCAAGCAGATCTGCATACTCGTCGCTGACGACGAGTATGTAACCGACATAAGGTCAGCAACAGTGTTTACTGAGAACGAGAGAGTTCTCAGTAGTTCATCTATGGACGAGAGTGTCCTAGATGAAAAGACACGAATTGAGCGATATGAGTCCCAATCATGGGAATCGCTCAAGGAAAATCCTCTCTATGAAGATTTGGTTGAATTCAAGGATGTATTCCCTGAAACTGTTCCGTGCGAATTACCGAAGGATAAAGGTATTCGACACGAAGTCGAGCTTAAACCAGGCTCGAAGTACTGTGTCATGAAGCAGTGGCCACTGCCTCGTGAACAAGTACTTGCGATCGACAAGTTCTTTGCCGATCGTTTAGCAGCGGGCCATGTGGGGGAATCAACTTCCCCACATAGCTCTCCGACCTTCTGTGTGCGAAAAGCAACAGGAGGGTGGCGGATAGTGCACGCGTTTAACAAATTGAACGCTGCAACGGTACCGGCTCAGACGCCGATACCGAGGAAGGACGTAATCATTGATGGTATGTCAAAGAGTACCATCTTTTCGTCCATGGATTTGATGGATGGCTTCTATCAAATCCTAATGCGGGAACGGGATATACCCTATACCGCAGTTAGCACGCCTAGCGGCATGCTCTGGGAATGGCTAGTAATGCCACAAGGGCTTAGTAATGCCCCTGCCACGTTCAACAGATGTGTATCACATCTGTTGAGGCCAGTACGAGAATTCGCGCCGAGTTATTTCTATGACGTATTCATCCATAGTCGAGCTATGGATGGAAAGTCGGACGTTGAGGTTCACAGGTACCACGTCCGACAGGTTCTTACAATCATGCGAAAGCATCAATTGTATGCAAACCTCAAGAAGTGTGTATTTGCAGCAAGCGAAATACCACTTCTTGGGTGCATCGTTGGTAAGAACGGTGTACGTCCTGATCCCGAAAAGATCAAGGTGATCACCGACTGGCCTGTGCCGGTCGATGTCAAAGGTCTTCGAAAATTCCTTGGGCTAGCGGCGTATTTGCATAAGTATTCACGCAATTACGCCGAGATGACTCTACACCTCTCTCGTTTGTTGAAAAAGAACGAGAGGTGGTTATGGAACGCTGAATGTCAACGCTCCTTTGAGGGTATCAAGCAGAGCTTGATACAATCCCCAGTCCTAGCAATAGCCGATCAGGACAGGCCATTTCATGTGGTCTGTGATGCCAGCGATTTCGCAATCGGCTGTGCATTAATGCAGTACGATCTTGAAGGCGTTGAACGCGTCGTCTGCTATCAGTCGCGTCAGCTGCAACCAGCTGAGCGGAACTATCCAGTGCATGACAAGGAACTCCTTGCCATGAAGTATGCACTCGCGAAGTTCAGAGTCTATCTATTAGGAGATAGACCCTTCGTTGTTTACACTGACCATGCGTCATTACGCACGGCAGTGAACAGCCCGCACTTTTCACAACAAATGGCGCGGTGGTTGTCATTCTTTGCAGAATACAACTTTACGGTCGAGTACAAACCAGGACGACTTAATGTCGTCGCTGATGCACTCTCACGTCGTCCCGACTTTGAAACAGTCGCGAAACCCAACAGTGAGACAGTCACTGTTGCGGTTATGACGTCCTCAGTTCCATCTACCACATTGTATGATGATGTGAGGCGGGCATACGCCCAAGATGGTGAGATAGTGAAGTTGTTGTCACATCTCTCCCAACCATCCCGAGAATTGTTGAAACTATTGTCGCCTGCGTATCGATCTGCATCAGATCGATACACTACTCGTAACGGTTTACTGTATTATACAGCCGTTTCTGGTGACACACCACGTGTTGTCATTCCAGATGATACTGATCTACGTTTGCGGATCATGTTCGAGTATCACGATGCTCCTATAGGAGGACATCGTGGCCGAGAGAAAACATATCTCACGGTAAGTCGAGACTTTTACTGGCCCCGCCAGTATCAGTTTGTGCGAAAGTATGTTCGCGCATGCGAAGTCTGCCAACGAGTGAAGTCAAGTCCTTCACTGCGTGCACCTTTACAGCCTCTACCGGTTCCGGCTGAGTGCCGGGAATCCATCTCAATGGATTTCGTCTTCGGGTTACCCAAAGACGCACGCGGGAATACGGGTATTCTCGTATTTGTTGCCAGATTCAGCAAAATGGTACACCTTGTGGCTGTACCAGAGACAATCACGGCAAGTGGCTGTGCTTGTGTCTTTATTGACACCATCTTCCGACTTCATGGGTTGCCCCGTGAACTCGTATCAGACAGAGATCCACGATTCACTGCTGATTTCTGGCGTTCCGTGTTCAAATCACTCGGAACGCGCTTAAAGATGTCAACATCTGATCATCCAGAGTCAGATGGTCAGACGAAACGTGCCAATCGTGTCCTTGAAGAGATACTTCGAGGATACGTACACTCCTTTAAGAGTTGGAGTGAGTTTTTGCCAATGGTAGAGTTTGCCATCAACAACTCGGTGCATGCGTCCACGACACATACACCGTTTTACGTGAATGGCTTACGCCATCCGCGTGTACCCACCTCACTAGAGTGTAACTCTGGTTTAAGGGGGGAGGGACTTGCGCGAGCAAAAACCGATTTGGTTCACGCTCATCACGCTCTGACGAAGAAGTCATTGCGTTTGACGCCGATATCGATAACATCGATATCGAAGGAGATGATGCCAGTGAGAGTGCGGAAGCCCTCACTGAAGAAAAGGTTGTTGTTGCTGCAGTGCGCTCACAGCACACTGAAGCTAACGAGTCATCAGATGAGTTCATACTGGCTCGTGAAACGGTAGTCCGTTTTGTGCAAGACTCCATCGCCGAAGCGGTGGATAAGCAAAAGCAAAACGCTGACAAGAATGGAAGGGCAAACACTCTTTTATTCAATGAAGGTGACTTAGTCCTACTGTCTACGGTTAATCTACCAAAGCATGTAGTGACTAACTTGGGTAGCAGTAAACTACTACCCAAGTACATTGGCCCTTTTCGTGTATTACACCGCCTAGGCAATGCATACACGATCGAGTTACCACGTAAGATGCGAACGCATCCCACGTTTTACGTTGGTCGGCTTAAGCCGTACCATCAGTACGC